AGACCCAGGTTATCACAACTAGGATGTTTGTATGTATTTATAACCTCACGTCACCTCATCTAGGATGTTTTTGTTTACTTCTATCAGTCACATCAAAGATGGTTATACGTTTACTAGTCTTATATCACACCATCTGGGATGTTTGTATTTTTTTTAAAGCTACCCATGCGTATTCTTCAACCTGTTTCTGTGCTTGTATACGAGCCACCTGCCCAAGGGTCACGAAAGGTTTTATATGACAATCGTGACATTTGAAGAATGTAAAAAGGTTGTGACTTGAAAATAGAAGTTGAGAACCCTTGTATTATAGGATATAATTTAAAAGTGTCGGTTTCTCAGTCTGCTACTCACGTTGTCCTTCTTAAGTCTTTCTAATTTGTTTCCCTGTCCTTTCTTATCTGTCTATCACACATTCCCTGTGTATTTCTCCCTTTTTTCCTACCCACAGAACAGTTTATCTGTGTTAGAACCACTAAGACAAACTCTTTCTTGGGACGACCAGTATGTCAACTAATGATTTAAAAAAAAAAGTTGTTTCCCTGTCTTTTCTTATCTGTCTATCACACATTCCCTGTGTATTTCTCCTTTTTTTTCTACCCATAGAACACTTTATCTGTGTTAGAACCACTAAGACAAACTCTTTCTTTTGATGACTAATATGTCAACTAATGATTTAAAAAAAAAGTTACAAATAATCTAAAGGATCCTTATCCACGCTTTCAGGTTTGTTAGGAATATAGGGCTCGAGCTCTATTTTATAGACCACTCGTCACTCGTGGGTGATGTGATCAACATCACGCCGGCAGCCTTTACTTTTAAAGACTGGGTCTGGTACCTATTTAAGGCGGGGTCGACCTAGTAGCAAGGTTATTTTTGAAATAAATATTAAAACCACATTAAAACCCACGTCTTTCAGATCTAAAGTTTAAAACCGGATAAACCCACGTTGTTCGGATCCGTAAGCGAGCGTCTAGCCACTACACCACTGCGGATTTTAAAAAAATGAAAACGTTATAGAAACAAATGGATAAGGTGGGGTGGGGGAGAGGGGTAGCGAAGGATCTTCTTAAGTCTGTCAGTCCCAGTACACTCGCTTTATTTTGATTGGTTACACTATATGTCTTTACTTTTCTTTTCCCATCTCGATTTTCTATTATGTTATCCCCCTTATTTTACACTTGTTAATTTAACATCCCTTTAACCAAGGTTGTATATTCTTCTGCTTTATAAAGCTTTAAAAGAAGTTTGCTCTAAGGTACAAAACTTTAAGCATAGACACTGTTGAATTCAAAACTCACTGACAGTAATAAGGGAGTGATATATTCCACTGCGAAATGCGGGCTTTCTTTTTCTTTATCCCACACTATAAACCTCCTTCTGTACCCTTATATATGACATGCTTGTTGATTACAGCGTTGACTAACATAACTTACCACCACCCTACCCCCCCCCCCCCCCACCTCCCTCCACCCCCGATCCCCTAACACAATAAGCAATCGGTCACTCACGCCACATCTAATCTGTTAAGGTATGCAGCCGGTCAGCTGCGAGACGTTTCGCCTCTTTGTAATATCAACTGACAGAAAACAAAGTACATAGAAGGAGGTTTTCAATATAGAATAAAGACGGACAAAGTCCGGATTCTGCGAGGGGTTGTGTCGCTCCCTTACTACTCTTGTGACTGTCAGAGTCAATATCAAAGTTATCAGAATCTTTGCTCTGAAGCTCTTAGAATTTTTTGTGGTCTGCTCCGTTCTGTTCACACATGTACATTTTGTTAGATTCCAAGGGGTCGTCATTGGAGTTGCTGAATTCGTGCTTTGTGTGACCTATTTGTGGGTAACTGTTCTGTTGAGAGCAAAAGAAAGAGGGAAAGCGCGCGCCAGAAAAAACACAAAAGATAGAAAGAGAGAGAGAGGGAGACTAAAATAGAGAGGGAGGGGGGGGGAGACTGAAATAGAGAGAGAGACACACAAACACACACATACAGAGAGAGAGAGAGACACACACACACATACATGCAGAGAGAGACACACATACATACTTACAGAGAGAGAGAGTCACACACATACACAGAGAGAGAGAGACATACACACACACATACATAGAGAGAGAGAGACACACACACATACAGAGAGAGAGACACACACATACACACATACATACAGACAGAGAGAGACACACACACACATACACACATACATACAGACAGAGAGAGAGACACACACACACATACACACATACATACAGACAGAGAGAGAGAGACACATACACACATACATACACAGAGAGAGACACACACACATACACAGAGAGAGACACACACATACACAGAGAGAGAGACACACACACACAAACACACATACATACAGACAGAGAGAGACACACACACACACATACACACATACATACAGACAGAGAGAGACACACACACTTACACACATACATACATGCAGAGAGAGAGAGAGACACATACACACATACATACAGACATAGAGAGAGAGAGAGACATATACACACATACATACAAAGAGAGAGAGAGAGACACACATACACACACACATACACAGAGAGAGACACACACACATACACAGAGAGAGAGAGACACACACACACATACACACATACATGCAGACAGAGAGAGAGACACACACACATACACACATACATACAGACAGACAGAGAGAGACACACACACACATACATACAGACAGAGAGAGAGAGAGAGAGAGAGAACGAACGATCGAACGAACAAACTTTATTTTCAAAGGGTCACAAAATGGGCACTCAGGCCCTTCTTACATTCGGCCCTTCCAAACACCCGTCTTTCACACTGCAGCTGTATTTTATCAATAAGCATGTTATATTCATATGATAATATGCATATTATGAATATCAAAAAAGAAAAAAAAAAGGGGGGAAAAAACGAAAAAGCACAAAAGCATGGGTGGTAAAATGCATGCACACACACACACTAACCCACCCACGTAAACACACACACATACCTTCACACACATATTAACACACCCCGATCACCCACATACATACCTACATACTGACACAGACACGCACATTCCATAGACATACAAAAATACAGATATACACACACAGACACACGCATAGAAACAAATGCAGACACACACATTTAAACAGACATACACGCACATACCCAATCACACACGCAGATACAGACACAGACATGCGACACACACTCACAAACCGTCATACGCAGATAAACACAGACACATATGCACAAACACACGCAGACACAAACACACACAGATACACGTACACAGACACACTTGAAGAGACATAAACACACAGGCCAAAACACACACACAAACACAACAGAGATAGATAGATAGATAGATAGAGAGAGAGAGAGCTAGTCTATAGAAAAAAAAATGATGCGACGATGTCGATCTAAACTTAAGCAATTTTATAACATATTTTTGGGGCGCTTTAACTTGGAGGAAATCCATACAGCATCATCGTCATTCCCAAGGTCATCATTCACCATTCCTCGTGAATACACGCAGTAATAAAAACACCGGAGAGACATTTTACTGTCTTTGTTATTTCTCAAAGGCATTCAAAGTACATATGTACGGTTACAAGAGACAGGGACATTGGAGTGAGATATCTCAGGTTAAAGCGGGCTTAGGACATAGTAAATGTGGCGTAGTGGTGGTAAATAGGGCACACGTGTGCGATGGGGTGTATGGTGGTCGTGGTGGGGTGGTGAGATAGAACCAAGATACATCCTACATATATTTTTAGTTATGTCTTGTGTTTGTGTGATGTGTTTATGTCTTGTCCCATATCTTGCGTTGCAGTGTCACCTCTTATGTTCCCCAGTGTCCCCTTATATTTTCCTTCAGTGTCTCCTGTCACATCCCCCAGTGTCCCCTCTAATGTACCCCAGAGTCCCCTCTCATGTCCCCCTGTGTCCACTCTCATGTCCCCCAGTGTCCACTCCCATGTACCCCACTGTTCCCTCTCATGTACCCCACTGTACCCTCCCATGTCCCCCCGTGTCCGCTCCTTTTTTCCCTAGTGTCTCCTCTCATGTCCCCTAGTGTCCCCCCATGTCCCCCGATGTCCCCTCTCATGCCACCAGTGTCCCCTCTCATTTCCTCCAGTGTCATCTCCCATGCCCATCAGTGTCCCCTCTCATGTCCCCAAGTGTCCCCCAATGTCCCACGGTGTCCCCTCCCATGTCTCCATTGTCACCTCTCATGTCCACCAGTGTCCCCTCTCATGTCCCCAAGTGTCCTCCCATGTCCCACGGTGTCCCCTCTCATGTCTCCATTGTCACCTCTCAAGTCCACCAGTGTGCCCTCTCATGTCCCCCAGTGGCCCCTCTCATGTCCCCCAGTGTCCCCTCCCATGTCCCCTGGTGCCCACTCTCATGTCCCCCAGTGTCCCCTCTCATATCCCCCAGTGCCCACTCTCATGTCCCCAGAGTCCCCTCTCATGTCCCCTCTCATGTCCCCCAGTGTCCTCTCCTATGTAACCCAGTGTCCTCTTCCATGTACCCCACTGTACAATTCCATGTCCCCCGGTGTCCTCTCTCATATACCTCACTGTCCCCCTCCCTTGTCCCCCGGTGTCCCCTTCCATGTACCCAAGTGTCCACTCCCACTTCCCCCAGTGTCCCCTCTCATGTCCCCCAGTGTCCCCTCTCATGTCTGACAGTGTCCCCTCCTATGTCCCCCGGTGTCCCCTCTCATGTCCCCAAGTGTCCCCTCTTATGTCCTCCAGTGTCCCCTCTCATGTCCTCCAGTGTCCCCTCTCATGTTCTCCAGTGTCCCATCTCATGTTCTCCAATGTTACCTTCCGTGTCCCCAAGTGTGCCTTCGCATGTCCTACAGTGTCCCCTCTCATGTCAGACAGTGTCCCCTCTCATGTCTGACAGTGTCCCCTCTCATGTTCTCCAGTGTTACCTTCTATGCTGATCAACCTCTTCTGTAACGTATTGTTGTGTTTCTGTTACACAGACATCGACGAGTGCGCCAAATCGAAGACTCAGTGCCCTGGACCTTGCATCAACCTCCCTGGAACTTTCCGCTGTGACTGTAATATTCCTGGGTTCATCAGTACTCAGTCTATGGATCACTGCAGAGGTAAGGGTATCCCTGAGTGGGTTCATCAGTACTCAGTCTATGGACCACTGCAGAGGTAAGGGCATCCCCGAGTGGGTTCATCAGTACTCAGTCTATGGACCACTGCAGAGGTAAGGGTATCCCTGAGTGGGTTCATCAGTACTCAGTCTATGGACCACTGCAGAGGTAAGGGCATCACCGAGTGGGTTCATCAGTACTCAGTCTATGGACCACTGCAGAGGTAAGGGCATCCCTGAGTGGGTTCATCAGTACTCAGTCTATGGACCACTGCAGAGGTAAGGGCATCCCTGAGTGGGTTTTGTGGCCACATTGTTGATGTCGGGGTGGGGGAGGGGGAGAAAAGACGTACTGCCGCCCTAACAAACATGTCGCAAAAGTCGACCAATTACGGGGGTTTCCTTCAAAGTCGGAGTGCCTGTTCATGACAGGCGAGGAACCAACAGTCTGCATAGAAATAAACAGTTCTGTAAAAAAATTGATGTGTACATATAACTGGAGTTATAAACAAGACTATCAAACCCACAAGTGGACATACACCCATAATTTTCTGCCGCAGTTTACAACCGGTGTACACTAAGAAGAAAAGAGAAGGTAGGGGCAGAAAGAAGGATAGAAGGAGGAACAGTATTTAGAAATAAAAGTGGCAAGATAAGAGACTACACTGTGGTAGGAGGAAAGAGGAGACGAAGAAAGAATAGAACAGGAGGAAGGGAAATTAAAAAAAGACACTTGTAGAAGTGAATGTAATGCTCAGGATCGAAAACATAATAACATTTTTAAGGCATAGAACAAGTGATGACAGGCCATTTTTTTAATGGCTCCTTTAATGAAGACGATTAAGAAATAAATATAGACTACGTAAAATAGTCACGAATCTCAATGATTGACGTAGTGAAAAGCCACACCGGCCCGCTTCAAGTCCCGCGACATTTCCTAACACATTTGTTAGCTGGATCGACCAAGGAGTACTGGATAATTTTTCACAGGCAATCTAAACAGAAAGTGCACACATAGTACTGTGATGTAGAGTGGAGACATTGTACTGTGATGTAGAGTGGAGACATTGTACTGTGATGTAGAGTGGAGACATTGTACTGTGATGTAGAGTGGAGACATTGTACTGTGATGTAGAGTGGAGACATTGTACTGTGATGTAGAGTGGAGACATTGTACTGTGACGTAAAGTGCTGACATTGTATTGTGATGTAGAGTGGAGACATTGTACTGTGATGTAGAGTGGAGACATTGTACTGTGATGTAGAGTGGAGACATTGTACTGTGATGTAGAGTGGAGACATTGTACTGTGACGTAGAGTGCTGACATTGTATTGTGATGTAAAGTGCTGACATTGTGTTGCGATGTAAAGTGGAGACATTGTACTGTGACGTAGAGTGCTGATATTTTACTGTGATGTAGAGTGGAGACATTGTACTACGATGTAGAGTGGAGACATTGTACTACGATGTAGAGTGGAGACATTGTACTACGATGTAGAGTGGAGACATTGTACTACGATGTAGAGTGGAGACATTGTACTACGATGTAGAGTGGAGACATTGTACTGTGACGTAGAGTGCTGACATTTTACTGTGATGTAGAGTGGAGACATTGTACTACGATGTAGAGTGATGACATTGTATTGTGTTGCAGAGTGTGGGCACTGTGATTAGATTGGAGACAATATTGCGACGACGAGGACTTACTAATATGTAAAAGCTGGGAGACAAACCAGAGAAAGAGAGAGAGAGAGAGAGAGAGAGAGAGAGAGAGAGAGAGAGAGAGAGAGAGAGAGAGAGAGAGAGAGAGAGAGAAAACGTGCTTATTTGTGTATACGTTTGGTTGTTCGTATACGTGTCTATGTAATGGCCAGTGTATGATCGAAACTACCAGGAAGTGCTTAAATGAATGTACCAGGATGTGTGTATGTGTGGGTTTTATATTTTGTCGAGACTATCTCCTTCTTTAACGACTACCTCCCCCTCCCCCAACCTCCCCCCCCCCCCCCCCTTTTTTTTTCAATCCGGGTCACTATCTGACAGTATGATCATTCTAAGATTACAAATTCTAAATCTGGATGCCAAGCAAACTGGAAAAATACCAGATACGCAGTTAAACCCTTAGAGAAGTTATAATTATGTCATGTATAAGTGCAATGACATTTAACTTCCAGTATCATCCTTTCTTCATTTCAATGTTTTCCTATCTAGGTTGGCACCTGAAGATTTGCAACTTTACAGTTTACAGTGTCTGAATCTGGGTAACATAGCAACGGGGCAAATTTGTTGTTTCCCGTTTCCCCTGTGTGGGTTCCGGAACCCTATTGTGACGGGTACGAAAGAACAAGAACAGATCCACTGCCTCTCTGGCAAGCATGTCGTAGGTGTCGAATAGTTCCCCCCCCCCTAAGTAAAAAACAGTCCTAATCTGTATGGTAGAACAACCGAGTAGATTCTATATACTAAATAAATTAAACTTAAGACACCCGGAGAGGCAACATCGAAGCGGTGTAACCTTAGCAGGTAAGGACGTGTTCGAAGATTAAACGGTCCTGTGAGCGAGCTAAGTTGAACCCCTGTAGTACTGAAAATTTAATTAGTTAGATCGAAAACTGAAAGATTGAACAGTCCCATGACTGAGGAAGATTAAACTCCTCCAGGAATGCATACGGATCGACTATCATCCGACCACTCACATAGCCACTATTCAGATGAGAATCCCGACAAGTACAAATCCCAAAAACCGTGTTCAACCGAAGGACAGTTACATCAGAGTACCAGACGTTTATAAACTAACCTGCAATTCAGTAGAGGGAGGTGGGAGTAGTCGTGTTCTCCCCGCCTCCAGGATCGACATCTCAAGGATGAGAATCAAACGGGTAGATATTCCAGAAACCCCGTTAAGCCCTTTAGCAATTAAGCACGTTGTGTATTGGTTCGTTACGGAGCCTAATTCTTATTTTTCTTTCTAAAAATGACCTTGGCTCCCAGGTCGACCCAGCCTTGACTGCGTACAAGGTGCAGTCGTGGGAAGTAAAAGCGACAGGCGTGATGCTGACCACACCAACTACGAAGTGCTGATTGGTCTATAAAATATAAGTGTAACCCTATATGCCCAACACGCTTGAAGTTGTGGAAAAGGGTGTTTTACTGTATTTTAAATTACAAAATTATTTTTACCTTCAACACAATTATATTGGCGCGACCATAGAAGGGTAGAAAAGAAACCTGTGGTTCCTTGTGTCAGCTGATCTGAGCGGGAGTCCTATGAATGAGTGAAGCTGAACTCCACTAGGACCGCCTATCAAAGGACTAAACCCGGTGACCTAAAAAGTCACACTGGAAATGAGAATCCCCAAAATACAGATCCTGGTTAACCCCGTTGAGTTGTAAGGTTATACTGGGCGCCCCTACCCCCCCCCCCCCCCCCCCCCGGACGATTAGGAAGTAGGGTTATTGATACAGAGCAGGCGTATGCTATCAAAGATACGATATTTTGATGGAAGTAACACACAAAAAGTCAGTTTATAAAATCGAAACATGTGCAAAACTATCACCAAACAAAAACGACAGTGCTACCTCTGTGTACATTCTTAATCCTTTCCAGATCCTTAGATGTATATTAACCAGAACTCATACCAAATACATGTCCCCATAAGACAAAAAAAGCTCTAATTAGTCACGCCAGCAAAATCCTTCTGCAGATCATCTTGAGGATAATCGAAAATAAATTGGAATATGAATTACAGGAAGCACAAGCAGGCTTTAGACGGGACAGAGGAACAAGAGACCAAACTTTCGATATGAAAATCACGACACAGTTCACCTTTCCAATAGTGTACAAGATTTAGAAAAATTAATTCTGGCCGTCAAAAAGCACAGGGAAAAAAGGAATCTTCCTCTGAATTAAAAATAAATAATCGTGTCCTTAGCAAATACACCACTCCAACCACAATTGAAAATGGAGAAATAGAAAATTTAGAAAAATTGGACAGAAGACTTGCAATGCAGAGATTAAACAGCATGAAGAACCTATGGCAAAGCTCCTGTAAGTAAAGTAAAGTAAAGTAAAGATCCCTTTACACGCCCTTAGGTTCATCGGGCATATGGAAAGAGCACCCACATTTTCGCAGACCAATCGGCACTAGGTGGGTAATGTGGTCAGCATTACGCCGGCTGTCTTTACTTCCCGAGGACAGCCCATCCCCGTACCTATTTGAGGCTGGGTCAACCGTCTTTACTTTCCCAGGACAGCCCATCATAGTACCCATTTGAGGCTGGGTCAACCGTCTTTACTTCCCCAGGACAGCCCATCCTGGTACCCATTTGAGGCTTGGTCAACCATCTTTACTTTTCCAGGACAGCCCATCCCGGTACCTATTTGAGGCTGGGTCAACCGTCTTTACTTCCCCAGGACAGCCCATCCTGGTACCCATTTGAGGCTGGGTCAACGGTCTTTACTTTCCCAGGACAGCCTATCCTGGTACCCATTTGAGGCTGGGTCAACCGTCTTTACTTCCCCAGGACAGCCCATCCTGGTACCCATTTGAGGCTGGATCAACCGTCTCTACGTCCCCGGGACAGCCCATCCTGGTACCCATTTGAAGCTGGGTCAACCGTCTTTACTTCTCCAGGACAGCCCATCACGGTACCCATTTGAGGCTAGGTCATCCGTCTTTACTTCCCCAGGACAGCCCATCCTGGTACCCATTTGAGGCTGGGTCAACCGTCTTTACTTCCGCAGGACAGCCCATCCTGGTACCCATTTGAGGCTGAGTCGACCTGCGACGTCCCATACTACGATAAAAATCCACGCAGCCGGCAGTGGGTTTCGATCGTGGTACGTTGGGTTACGAGTCAGACTCGCAACGCCTTAACCATGGACGAAAGCTCGAGTAAATTAGTTAAATTAAAAATCTTGAGATCATGCACTTTTCCGAATTCTTAGAATACCAATGATCAAGAGGAGGAAAAAACATCGTCATTCTACACAAGTTGAATGAACTCAAGGAGAATTGGTTCATAAACCGTCATGTCCCGAAAGTTGAAGTAGTTTGGGTATATCAAGTGTCATGGTGGCTTGGAAAAGACGGTGATGAAAGAAGGTGCAGTTTGTGGAAGGCGAGGCAGGGGTCGACCACCGCGAGGATAGATACAGGACATTAAAGATACACTGGCATTGAAAGCACATGGGGCTGGAGAGCTGGCTAGGGAAAGGGACACTTTCTGGCGTGCCGCGAGGAGAGTGATCTTTTGTAAAAGTCTTGCTGTTTGATGATGATGAGTAATATACAGGACGCAATTTAAAAAATAAAATTTACATTATTCTAAATCCCCCACTAAGTCAGACGTCGATAGCCCTAATAGTATCCAACGGTTAAACAGGGCTTCTGGGTCTTGTGTCTTGGGAATTCTTATCCGAATGGTGGCACTTTGTGTCACCGGGTATTAATCGCTCGTTGCACGGTCCTGGTAGGGTTAAACGTCACACACTCATTCATTATTTATTTGTTCTAAAATTGTAACCCTTTTCCTAACTGGACCTGGCTGGGGGCTCACCAGGTTTGACTTTCACTAAAAATGTGTCTAAAGAACTTTGCTTCTTCAGTCTGCTCCGGATGTTTAGGAAATGTGACAGTTTCTGGTCATTCCAGACAGTGCTATTACAGCTTGTGTGGACTTTGTTAGTGTGGTACTTCTCTGCAAAGATTTTGCGGTTCGTCCATTTGGCAAACACTTCTTAAGTTAATGAGAGTTAAAAAGGGGTAGTGTCGTGACTTATTTTGACTCAGAAAAGTTCTAGGAGACGAGTCGTATTCCAAACAAAGGTCGTATACCAAAGTTTTTCCATCTAAACGGGGCGCATACCAATTTTGATTTATACCAGAGCGGACGTATACAGAAGAAACATTATATTTCAACTGAAATAGATTTTATTTAGTCTTAGTCAGTCGTGTTTCAGTAAGATTTCATTCTTTTGACTATTCTTAATCTTGGACAGTGTATTATAACCTTGTGTGTCTTTCTTCTTCTTCTATGTACGCAGATGTCGACGAATGTGCGGTAGATAACGGTGGATGTGATGGTGTTTGCATCAACACTTTCGGCAGCTTCGAGTGTCGGTGTGAGACCAAAGGGAAGAAACTCGATGAGGACAGACGGTCATGTGTGGGTAGGTTGGTTTCTCGCAGTGGTCGGACTTGATTTTGTGAACATGTGTTTTATAGCACCTGACGTTAAAGAAACAGCCCACTAATTATTATTTTTTTTTAAATTTCACTAGTTAATTTTAAGTTAAGTAGTTTGGCATTGCTTGAAGTAGATCAGTTTCTTTGCTATCGTTTCTCCTTTGTAGCAGTATCCTGACCATACTTATCACTAACCATGCCACAGACACTGGGGAAGAATATCAAGGCGGATGAAGAAAGTGAATCTTTAAAGACATTTTGTAGCCAATAATATGAAATACATTCGTATGTCCTCAACCACTTCTGTGCAGTTGCCAGCTCAGATATATCCAAACAATTTAGCTACCTCTAGACGACACGTATCACAAGCTTCGCTTTCTTCCACCTGATTTTGAAACAACTTGTCTCTGAAGAGTTCTGAAATCTGCGGAGCCACACAAATTCCCTCTTACATTTGTGATCCAATGTTTCGAGGACATTTGTGTACCGAGTATGGTCACTGGCTTGTAACAAATGTTTTTTTTTTCAAACCTAGTTTTATGTGCAGGGAAAACAGGACTATTTGTTGGGTTTCTGTCAGCGCTGAGTGTTATACATTCTTTTCGAACCTCAGAGATGTCTTCAACGGCCAGTCTCTCCCCCGACGTGGTGCACAACTTGTGTTCGGCCACCTTTAAGTCACAACAGGAAAGCGACCGATACCTGATGCACTGAATTCAATGCATCAGCTGTTTTAGGTTGAGGATACTCGATCATCTGTGAATCTCATAAACAAGAACCAATCAATATATTTCAGTGTTTGTTTCGTGTTCAGCACCTCCACATAAAGTAAAAAGTAAAGATCCTTTTTCACGCGTTAGGCGCATGGAGTATTTGGGAAGAGCGCCCATATTTTTTCTGCTACCAATTTCAAGCTGGGTCGACCTGCGACGCCCCATACCACGATAAAAATCCACGCAGCCAGGAGTGGGTTTTAATCGCGGTAAGTTGGAAATACGAGTCGGACTCGCAACGCCTAAGACACGGACGCCGCACCTCCAACTTAAGTACACATATTTTGTTTTCATGTCAGTGACAGGATCTTGTTGTCCAGTGTAATTGTGATGATAATAATTAATATTGCTGCGCATTTATGCAAAACTTAAGCCTCGCCCAAATAAATGTATATTGAGGCTCACCTACTCCCCCCCCCCCCCCCCCCATGACCAACGATTTCTGTGTGAAGGCAAAGTAGTTAAAGTTTCACCTACTATTCCTCTTCTTTCGATGGCAACCATCTGCCACCATCTGTTGAACTCTCCATTCTCCCCTGGGCAGATGTGGACGAATGCACGAGGTACAAGAGCAAGGTGTGTGCCAACGGTCATTGCCTGAACACAGACGGCTCCTTCACTTGCACCTGCAAAAACGGTTTCAGACAGTCGGTCAGCTTGAACTCTTGCGAAGGTAGGTCACATATTAGTTGTTGAAAATCAGATTCTTATGCTCAGGAAGGCTAACCCTGGCAACCAATGCCTGCCGAAATCAGATGTGTCGGCCGAAAAGCGCAAATATCGCAGCTATGCTGTTAACGAGCACAGCGCTTTTACGTCTTCCGTTGAACGTAGAAAGAAGAAGAAGAAGAAGAAGATGAAGAGGTATTTATCATGAACCCGCCCGCCAGACGAGAGTTCCTTCCCTTCCTATTCATACCAAGACGGGTCGCACGGCGTGTCCTATGTTGCGTCGGTGTTATGTATTTCAAAAGTTTTGCGGTTGTCTCTTTTCTTTTGTTGTTAACTTGCGTGATTATTTCCACGTTCTGCTACTTGCCCGAAGGTTCGCCTAAGGACTGACTTCCCGAGACATTGTCTACAACCTATTGTAGGCGGCATCGACCTGGGAGCCAGAGGCCTTCGAATGTCACTACTTCTGAGCCTATACGGCTTTTGGACTTACACAATTCCTTTGAACCTGACGACCTCTAGACACCATAATCCCAGATCTGTAAATTACATGACCCTTTGAAAGTTCACGAACTTTTGACCTCAATGATTCTGAAATTACACGACATTTTGAACTGGTTTCGACCTTACATACATGACCCTGAACGTGCACGATTCTTTCAACTTACGCCAGCCCTGAACTCACAGGATATGTGAACTTGCTCCACTTCTAAATTTATGTTTTCACTGTCCTAATTTATGTTTTCACTGTGCACATTTATGTTTTCACTGTGCACTTTTACGTTTTCACTGTGCCCATTTATGTTTTCGCTGTGTACATTTATGTTATCATTGTGCACCTTTATGTTTTCACTGTCTACATAATGAGTTCAAACTCACACTTCAACCCGCAGACATTGACGAGTGTGCGGACGACAACGGTGGTTGTTCCCAGGTGTGCTACAACACTCCGGGATCGTTTAGGTGTTCATGTGAAGAGGGTTTCGCCATTGCCGAGGACAAGGCGAGCTGCAAAGGTAGTTTTGTCTACCAGATTTATGAGCAGTATGTGTGCGTTTGTTTGTTCGTGCTTTTGAAGGAAACGTCGATCCTATAGATGGTATCTTGAGTTTTCATTGTACATGTATTTAATAAACATCAAAGATTGCATAATCATGACTTACTGAGCTAGCAATGCGGCCCCAAATTCTGATGCTTAAGACCCCATCTTCGTCGGCAGAAAGAATGAAATGCAAGTACAGTGAAACCTCAAAATACGATCTATAGACTCGACGTTTTCTTTAAAGTTGGAGTGCATATACTTAAAACGCAAAGAATTAACAGTCTGAACACAAACAAGCCAGATTTGTAAAACGTAAATGCACACAAAACTCAAGTCTTGGAACAAGGTTGTATTAGTATTATCAGTAGTGGCAGTAGTGGTGGTGGTGGTAGTAGTAGTAGTAGACGCAGCGGCAGCAGTAATAGTATTACTATTATTATTATTATTGTTATCAGTAGAAGTAGTAGCAAGAGGAGGAGGACGAGGAGTAAGTGGAGGAAAAGGAATTTAAAAAAAGGGATGATGAAAAAGAGGCAGTAGTCGAGGTAGTAGTAGCAGTAGTAACGACAATGGGAATTTTGATGGTAGTAGCAGTCGTGGTAATGGGTTAGTGTTGTTTTTGCTGTGGTCGTGAAAAGAGGAGAAGGAGGAGGAGAACTAGGACAGGGGAAATAGTGATGATGATGATGATGATCATGACGATGATGATGATCATGACGATGATGATGATGATAATGACGACGATGATGATGATGATGACGATGATGATGTTGACGACGATGATAATGATGATGATGATGATGATGATGATGACGATGATGATGATGATGACGATGATGATGATGATGACGATGATTATGATAATGATGATGATGACGATGATGATGATCATGACGATGATGATGATGATGATGATGATAACTGTGGTTACAACGCAGACTAACTTATCTGATCCTGGATCCACAGACATCAACGAATGCTTGAACAAGCGCGGGGGCTGCTTGGATGTTTGCGTCAATTCTGTGGGCTCCTTCCGCTGTTTGTGCACTCACGTAGGCATGGTGCTCTCCGAGGATGGGCTCACCTGTAAAGGTAACAACATGCTGGTGTTTACTGTTGGATTTAGGCATAAGCAGGCTAAGCTGCAGACCAGGGCCTCACAATCCGTAGAGGCCTTAACAGATTTGTGTGTGTGTGTGGGGGGGGGGCGGGGGGAGTGGCTCACAAACAATGTGTTTTGTAAATAGACCCTTTGAGATAATTATACAAAATTTAAGTGATTTTCTTGTTCTAAAAATGCTGTCGGCTTATACTCGAAATATTTGCTGGCTCCCCTCCCCCCACCCCGACCCTGCCATAGGCGTCAAATACTATAGGTACGCCCCTGCATCACACTGTCCACCTTTGCTTCTTAGAACATTTCCTTGTATCTATTATAGGCTGATTTGACCTTGTATAAGTATGCATAGCCTTAAAAGAACTGAAATACTGTGGAACTGAGGTGTATAATTAAAGCGTGTCTGTTTCCAGGTTGTACCAGCAGACAGTTCTACAATAGAAGTACCTCCTCCTGTAATAACTGTCCCAGCCACGCCCACGCTCGTGACGGGCTCGCGCTGTCAGTTCAGGACTGCAGATGTGACAAAGGTTTCCATGGTAACCCTCGTCTTGGGGTGCAGTGTCAAGGTAACACCTTTCAAGTCCTTGCCATTGGTTGGTCCTTTTTCTTTTGCATTAATCATCTGGCAGACGCTAACTCTGGTTTAGGTTTGGGTTTAAACAACGGATCAACATCATGGCACAGGGATAGTAGCCCATAAGTGCTTCGTTCTACTTCTAACTCAAGCCTGAGTCCGAAGAATCTCAGCGCAGTGAACAAACCCTGTAGCACCGGCGAGGATCCTGAAATACTTTGGACAGATTTTTCACTCCAAATTTTGACCGGGAAGCGCCTTTAGGCCAATATTTTAGATTTGCAACCACTACGAGATTTATTAGGTGCACAGCAATACACACTAGCGTCCGATCTTACTACCCACACCAGGGGAAATTACTCTAAGAATGATTAACGCCAAAGAAAGACTGGTCACCTGGTATGGCCTGCGTGTGAATGGCTCTCTGGTAAAGCAAAAAGTCGACACCAGATCAGTCGGATCGCCCCTAAGAGAGCGAAGTATTATATGACATAAATTCCCCTTCGACCTTTTTCTTCATCTTGACGTCCTCTTTTACCGTTTCGGGTGTCGAGGGAGATATAAGATCCTGCTTTTTGCACCTCTGGCCGCTTCGACCATAGACCCATCGTCGTGCTGTAGAGTTTCTCTGATGTTATCTTTCCATGTGTTTTTGGTGTACCTCTTGCTCTACGACCATCTCCTCTTTTGGACCTAAACAGCAATAAATCGTATCTGATGACTGAAGCCATGATCCCGTAATGTCTATCACTGAGGCTTACATGACACTTTCACAAGAGCTTGGCTTTAGAAAACCACTGGGCCACAATGAGCAACCAATCTCCCCCTCCCCCCCCCCAATCCAAAATCATCAAGCTATCTTTAGTTCTTCTTCTCTTCCACCTTGTACCCCATCGAAGTGTCGTCGGAGATGTAATGTTCGTTGATGAGCTCTGTCAAGACCACTATTAAGACTGATGTTCATTTCTGTAAGACTGTTCTTAATGCCATCACTCCATATTTTCTGAGGTGTTCCGCTCGCTCTATACCCGTTGTAACGTTTTAGTGTGGCTCGCTGTGCAGATATTACCAGGGCATTCTTGTTAGGTGTCCAAACCACTTCATTTGTTGTTCTGTGATGACCTGTAAGACTGGCTTTATTCCTAGCATTCGTCTGATTTCGTGATATCGTATTCTGTCTTTCCTTGAAACTGCTGCAGCTCTTGTTTATTTAATATAATATTATCCGTATCTTGTAAACAATTTGCAGCCGTAGATATAAGTTTTACGGGATTTTCCAGCTGTTGTGGTTTTTATAGGCAAATTTACCTCCGGTATTTTACCATTTCTTTCTGTACGGTCGGCTCTTGATACCACTGTCGAAGCTAACGCAAGACGGTCTGCTGAAACATCTTCTGCAGCTGGAATCGAACTCGGTACCCGGTGAATACGTAGCGCCTTCGCAGTGCCTAAGCCAGAGACGCTGGCAGGTGTACATAGAACCAATTAAATTTACGTATGCTTATCGAGAACAAGTTACTGCTGGCAGGTCGATGTATCGGCATTTACCTTTGAGGTTTGAACAACGGATCAACATCATGGCACACGGGTAGTAACCCATAAGTGCTCCGTTCTTCTTCTAATTCAAGTGAGTCCGAAGAAGCTCACCAGAGTAAAAAGGCTCTGTAGCACCGGCGAGTATCCTGAAATACTTTGGGTAAATTTTTAACTCAACATTTTTGATCTGGCAGCACCGTTAGGCTACTTTTTTCGATTTCCAAAAGTCAAGAGATTTTTTTACGTGCACAGCACGTAAGTGAGACTTCCGATCTCACTGCCCAGTGACCAGGGGGGGGGGGGGTGGAGTACAAGAAGTCTAAGTCCACGTGAATAATCCCAGGCCTTACCAGGAATTAAACCTGGAACCTCTAGCAGTCCAGGCGGACATCATGCCTCGAGACCACGCAGCCCCCCCCCCTCTCCACCCCCGGCATTTTACGAGAGGTGACAAGCAGACGTCACTAGATTTAGTCTTCTCTTGGAGATTAGGTTAACTGAGGCTTTTTTGTGTGATAGGTTTTATGTTAAAATCATTCTAAAATATCACGGAAGAAAATAATAATTTCATGGCTGAGGATTGTTCCTTCTTCAGGGTACAGGTCATCAACACACAAAAAGCAGGTCATATGTATTGCCATCTCCACAAGTAAGGATGTAGATAACACTTACCCTTCTTGTAACTTCCACTGACACCAACGACACTTACCATTCTTGTAACTTCCACAGACACCAACGACAATTACCATTCTTGTAACTTCCACTGACACCAACGACACTTACCCTTCTTGTAACTTCCACTGACACCAACGACACTTACCCCTCTTGTAACTTCCACAGACACCAATGTCACCTACCCCTTTTGTAACTTCCACAGACACCAACGACACTTACCCTTCTTGTAACTTCCACAGACACCAACGTCACCTACCCTTCTTGTAACTTCCACAGACACCAACGACACTTACCGTACTTGTAACTTCCACAGACACCAACGACACTAACCCCTCTTGTAACTTCCACATACTCCAGAGACACTTACCCTTCTTGTCACTTCCACAGACACCAACGACACTAACCCCTCTTGTAACTTCCACAGACACCAACGACACTTACCGTACTTGTAACTTCCACAGACACCAACGACACTAACCCCTCTTGTAACTTCCACAGACACCAACGACACTTACCCCTCTTGTAACTTCCACAGACACCAACGACACTTACCCCTCTTGTAACTTCCACAGACACCAACGACACTTACCCCTCTTGTAACTTCCACAGACACCAACGACACTTACCCCTCTTGTAACTTCCACAGACACCAACGACACTTACCCCTCTTGTAACTTCCACAGACACCAACGACACTTACCCCTCTTGTAACTTCCACAGACATCACCGACACTTACCATTCTTGTAACTTCCACAGACACCAACGATACTTACCCTACTTGTAACTTCCACAGACACCAACGATACTTACCCTACTTGTAACTTCCACAGACACCAACGACACTTACCCTTCTTGTAACTTCCACAGACACCAACGAATGCCACACTGGCCACATGAATTGTTCCCACGAATGTGTCAACACAGAAGGAAGTGCCCATTGCGCATGTCCAGATGGATTTATGGTCGACAAAGATGGAATCACATGTCAAGGTATTATTTATATGTACTTTTTTTTTCAAAATTACACACACACACACACACACACACACACACACACACAAGCACACGCACGCACACATGGGCACATTGACACATACACACGCATACACGTGTGCGTAACCCAGTTTCTTCAGTGGTGCTAATTGGTTATATGATCTCATGCATAAAACAATATGAGCGCAAAAACAGTAATATGCTACGTTTAAAAAAAAAATACAGTAACAACTAAAAATGACGTTAATATATATCATGTTTGTCTATCGTAGGAAAAAAAAAAAAACTCTTTCTGAAGACGATTGAAAACAGATTCTTCCTAGCACTGCATTGTGTAGTTTGGGCGCCGTTTCTCTCTCTCTCTCTCTCTCTCTCTCTCTCTCTCTCTCTCTCTCTCTCTCTCTCTCTCTCTCTCTCTCTCTCTCTCTGAGCCCATCTAGTTATTAAGCCGACTGTTTCTTCTTCTATGATTTAAAAGCATATAATCAAACAATCAGCAAATTCATATCCAAGAATAACTGAAATTTGTGCAGAAGATCTATCATATTGTATTCAGTACTTTATCCATGTGAATAGACATCCCCGGACTGCTAATCACGTGCTGACAACATGCTGTCTACATACGGTAGGGAGATCCCTTGTCTAACCAGTTGGCATTGCTGACAATATGCTGTCTACACACAGTAGGTGGATCCCAGGTCTAACCAGCTGGCATTGCTGACAATATGCTGTCTACATACACTAGGTGGATCCCAGGTCTAACCAGCTGGCATTGCTGACAATATGCTGTCTACACACAGTAGGTGGATCCCAGGTCTAACCAGCTGGCATTGCTGACAATATGCTGTCTACATACACTAGGTGGATCCCAGGTCTAACCAGCTGGCATTGCTGACAATATGCTGTCTACATACACTAGGTGGATCCCAGGTCTAACCAGCTGGCATTGCTGACAATATGCTGTCTACATACACTAGGTGGATCCCAGGTCTAACCAGCTGGCATTGCTGACAATATGCTGTCTACATACACTAGGTGGATCCCAGGTCTAACCAGCTGGCACTGCGAGGGAAACCAAACCGTATGGATCAGTGGAGAAAATGCGTTGCACTACAATCTCCATACAGGCCTGTGGCCTTCTTACTTGAAAATCACTGGAGGCAAAAGGGAAAAGATGGTCATTAGGCGTATTCATAAATTAGACTTAAAAACAAATCCCAGTCCAAAATGAAGTAGAAATGATCAACTTCGCAATGTCACATTAAAGAACGAGGCAATGAACACTGTGGATATAAAGTCTTCATCAGTATAAAACAAAACGGACAATGACACAGTTGCCAACAAAAATACATAAGATCAATTAGCTTTACAGAAAATCATGAAACTCTGACCATGATTGAACAGTTGAGATATCATGAAAATGTATCAGATCAAAATGAAAGTAGAATAGTCAGATTCACATGACCATAATAAAAAAAAAATGACAAGTGAAAGATGCGGCCAGAAAGCCTTTATCAGCATATGACATGGATGGACAAAGTTACTTCAATTACAAATAATAATCCACAGAATCACTTTATGAAGGTCTCTTCAAGAACAAAAAATCACCCGAACTGGCCAGTGGACTTTCTGACACCATATGAATACCCGGGATGAATATTGCCCAGAAAAGGTTTCACATGCGAGGATAGTAACTTTAAAATATTTAATAAGGCTGTTTTCCAAATTAAGTCCCTTAGGCGAGATGAAGCCCATTAGATAGATATGGTGGTTTTCAAGAGATTTACGAAATATGTATTTGGAGTAGCTAGACTTGATGGTAGTAACCTCACGTTGAAGACACCTTGGTGACCCTCAGAACCCTAAGACATCGGCAATAGTTTGAGGGCAACATCAGAAAGATGTTGCCTGAACCTGTTAGCGAGTCGATGCCCCACGTTTCACCGATGCAGTTCATGCCACATCTCTTGTAGATGATGAAGTAAGTTACACTGCATCTCGTCCAATATAATGCCTCAAGTATGCGGAGAGTGTCGGCTTTGTGGCTGAATCGATGCGAACGTTTCTTAATACGGGGATGCTGGGTTCAATCCAAACTGCGGGCCATGCGCCTTGCGTTGGTTTCGGCAGTGGTATCAAGAAAGCCGACCGTCCAGGAAGCAACGGCAAACTACTGGACGTACTGGACTATGTATGTTTATATGTACCAGGACATCACACAAAGCGATAAACACATAATGACATAAAGTGCCACCATGCGGATGAGGATCACCCGTGAAAAGGTCCCAGAAACCCCGTTCAGCCGTTAGGCAATATTCATGATCCGGCTGTATTTAAGGCCCCCGGCGAAAGCCAGGGTGGAAGCTTCACATAACCAGAAATTGCATCCCACATGAGGACGGCATAGTTAAAGATGTTATTAGACTAGATCGTCCTTAAGTAGAAGCTCTGCTGTTCAGATTCAGCATTAGAGGCTTTGCAACACTTGTCATCGCAGAAGACAGATACGGAATATGATGTGAGCTGAAGGGACAGAACATGTAACGACAAGGGATGTAGCTGCAAAAATTATAGGATAATTTAACCTGTTACAGAAAGACACGTTACCTTGTATCGTTCCTCAGACATCAACGAGTGCCGAATGCTGACACACGACTGCAGCCAAATCTGTGACAATACCGAGGGTTCATTCTCGTGTCGCTGTTTCTCCGGATACCGGATCCAGGAAGACAACATCACCTGTACAGGTATGTCGTGTGTTTTTTTATTTTTTATTTTCTTACTCAAAATTTATCAGTATTGTCAGGTTTCACTCCTCCCAGACCATAGTGTCTATTATGCTATCGAAAAATCATGGAAATCACAACTTTTGGTGATTAGTTGTTGTCGTGACATGTTTTTGACCCAATTTTCCCCAACCGTGACCTCTCAACCTATCTGCAGTCATTTTCTCTGGTTACTTGTTGTCCGTATCAACATCCAGTCAAACAAACGTTAGTCTCCCCACATAAAATAGGTCACGTTCCATTTATAACTTTGTTGGACTGGTCTTGTTTGCTTTCTGTGATGTCTTGCATTTACTTTTTTTTTCCGAAAAAGAGAATGCCTGTGACATAGGTTTCATCACTCTCTAATGGGGTTTTGTGTTAGACCCAGCTTGTCGATGTTTTTGTAGTGTTGAAGGCGCTGGCGTGCTGAAATATAGAAGACGAGATATCAACGGAATTGGGGAACACCCCCGTCACGCTGTGCCAAGTTCGGGTGGCTGGGTGGCTTAAGGTCGACCAATCAGAAGTGAGCTAGGCTAAAGGTCGACCAATCAGAAGGGAGCTAGTGTGTATATGGGTGGTCCGTGGGGAGACCAATGTTACTATTACCCAACATCATAGCCCATGGTAGTGACCCACACCCGCTCCCTCCTCTTGATGCAGGGTTATCTCCACGCTCACCGTACACAGCAGGAGTTGACAGGCATGCCTTATTTCTTTGCCTCACAGCCGGTTTCTGCATGTTTGTTCTCGTTTAATACCAACAGGCGGTTCGTCGTCTATGACTCACTTGTCTCAACGTCTCTAGAACGCAGAACAGAGTTTAGCTGCCCTGTCTATGCTTCTTCCTTAACCAACTACTGCAGACACGGCCAGACTGTCGGCACTTTCATTTCCTTTCACCCCGACATCTTCTGTCGTGTACGATTAAGATAGTATTTTTAAGGCGGGACTTCTGGGTGCAGACAACCCATTGAAGTCGGAGTTGGCCAGTTTGGATCTTCTTAAACATGGTCATTGAGTCTGTCACTATCAATGCATGAGATGCTTTCTGTTCTGTCAGCCATGCAAGTGTCCCTGTGACAGCTTCTATCTCCATCCTCATGTAACTCATCAACTCATCATAAGTAGTTGAACAGAATACATGACTTTCTTCTTTTACTGTCTTTCCATCCACATGCGTTGTGTATGCGCACCCAGACCGCACCTCACGAAACACTGAGCCATCTGTCAAGACCATGACGTGACCTGAAGTCAGTTTCTATCTATCTCATATTCATGTCTTGTTTTACTATGGCTGTAACAAAGTCTTTAGCATGGCTTGGTACTCAAAAGTTCACACACGTATGCATTCTTAGTGACTCGATGAATATGCTTGAAAAAATCCAATCTGGATTTATCAGGCAAGAATGGATTGAAACACTAAGCACTTCACGAATATCTGCCCTAACCTTCATCGTTGTGCCAGGTCATGCGGGTGTTCAAGGGAACGAGCGTGCAGACTATCTTGCTGACACTGCAGTTGCTATGGCTGGCCCAGTACTGGACAGAAGTGATGTTATCAATGCCATGCGCTGCACTTACCGTACCGAGGAGCACGCCAAAGGACATGACTCCGTATCCCTGTCTAGACTGATGGACATGGGACTGCAGCCTGGAGCTGCAAGAAATGAACATTTCACTAAGAGGACAAGACGTTTCATTAACCAACACAGAACAGGCGTCATCAGTTGTTTTACACTTGTGAAGCTTTTGAGGAGGAGATCGGAGCATCTATGGATCTGTCCGGAGTGCTGTGATGATATTCCTTTCTAATCACTAATCACAGATTAGATAAATTTATGTTTAAAAAGTGGTGTTTAAATGGGGCGAATGCAGGATCGGACTGTGTATTTATTATGTGAACCATTAAAATAAACGTGATTTTGTTTGTTCGTTCGTTCGTTCGTTCGTTTGTTTCTTTCCCGCATCATGCAACATGATCCATAGTTTCCTGTGACCATGAATAGGTCTATGTCAGGGCAGCTCAGATTTTACCTGTACAGAGACTCGTTCTGCCTATCTTTGTTATGAGTTATGAGTTAGATTATTTTCACAGCCTCCGGACACATCCATAGTCGCTCAGATTCCCCTCTCAACGCATTCATCAGCGTCGTGAGGTTAATAGTACCAGTCCTATGTTGGTTAACAAGACTTCGTGTGCTTCCAGTGTGCTTCTCATGCTTGGCTGTGCCGATCTTTACTCCCAATTCACGTATTCTTAGAAGTGATGTGGACACGTTGCTTTCAAAATCCTCAGAACGTCCTATCTCTCTAATAGCAATGACAATGTCTGCGTGAGCCATGGGCCGGCCATCTTCAATTAATGCAGCACCTGCCAGTCTATCAGCTCTCTCATTACCAACAACGCCTGCATGCCCTGGGACGAATATGAAAGTAACTGCACACACAGGAGAATTTTGCAATGACTCAAGCCATTATCTTCGTTCTAATCATTCTTCTTCTTTTGTCAAAATCTGCTTGTGCCGCTAGGCGTCGCAGTCTATCAGATGATCGGCAACCGAGCCAGGGCGCGCTCAGTCGCTTCATATGCCGTGATGTTATGAAGTCTCAAGTTGTCCGTGACTCCTTCAATCCATCTTCTTCTTGGTCTTCCCCTGCCTCTTGTTGTTTCGATTTTCATGTTGTATGCTCTTGATGCTGGCATCGTTGGTTCCATTCTCATTAGGTGACCAAACCATTTCATTCTTTGCTTCTCAATAAATTTAACGATGGGTATGGTTCCAATAGTTCTTGTGATCACATCGTTTCTCACTCGATCTCTTCTGGTTTTATTCGCAGCCATTCTCAAACATCTCATTTCACAGGTGGTTAGTCTTCTCTCGTGTTCTTTTGTTAATGTCCAAGTCTGACATTGATAACCTAATGTCGGTATAAAGATTGTATTTATATTTATAATTTGTCTTTTTATCTCAGCTGGGACAGCAGGGTGTTTTAAAATTGGGGCAAGCTGGTATGCGACATTGTTGGCTTGTTGGATTCTTGCTTCAATCTCTCTGTCTATTTTACCATTGGATGTAAAGATACTTCCCAGGTATTTAAATTCTTGCACTTGTTTTAGGCTGTGATCTAGAATCTTTATGTCGATGGTCTGTTGCTCTCTACTTATGCATGAACCATGTATGTTCTAATCATTAGGTTCACCATTTACTTAGATTCCCACCTGCGGGCCCGAAATTCTTGGGTACAAATCTGCACCCGGTCTGATATTTTCCCTATATCGACCCAGCCTAGAATATGTACCAGGTAATGACTTGGGAAGTAAAGGGGTTGTTGTGATGCTAACTTCAGTACCCACCGAGAATCATTAGTCAATAAAATATGAGTCTAGTTGGATATATCTGCTGCGCCACTGAAATAACAAGTGTCTTTTACCTATACCCACCGTTTACCACATACCTGCCCATCATGCCCATTGTCCCACTTCTCCCCTGTAACCAATGCATATGTTATCGTTTTAATAAACAAATATTCTTTATGCAGCTCGATAATGAGGCTAAAGGTTAAAATTAAGGGTCAAAGCTGAGAGGAACGACTTCATTGCACTTCATTTTCCCATATGGTTCGGTCTCTCTCCATAGAACGTCTAGCCCATGCCGGCCGGGAGCATCACACAAAACACTAACTCCCGATCTCCGGCGATGGTCGCCAGTGATCTCCGTGAAAGTTGCATGCGAAAAACCAACGACGCGGTCGCGAAACGAACGCACGACATTCAGAGAGCGAGGCAAATGGTTTCACCGCTTCGCCACGGGGATCACCGATAATGATAATGTTGATAAAAAATGACCGAATCTATTGCTCTGTTCTTTGGCAGATTTTGACGAGTGTGCCAACTCTCTGGCTCCGTGCTCACATGAATGTGTCAATACCGATGGAGGTTACTCATGCATCTGCCCGACAGGTTTTCACCTCAGCAGCAACCATATTGACTGCAATGGTCTGTCTGTCTGTCTGTCTGTCTGTCTGTCTGTCTGTCTGTCTGTCTGTCTGTCTGTCTGTCTGTCTGTCTGTCTGTCTGTCTGTCTGTCTGTCTGTCTGTCTGTCTGTCTGTCTGTCTGTCTGTCTGTCTGTCTGTCTGTCTGTCTGTCTGTCTGTCTGTCTGTCTGTCCGCCTGTCGGTCTGACTGTCTGTGCGTACGTGCGTGCGTCTGTCTGTCTGTCTGTCTGTCTGTCTGTCTGTCTGTCTGTCTGTCTGTCTGTCTGTCTGTCTGTCTGTCTGTCTGTCTGTCTGTCTGTCTGTCTGTCTGTCTGTCTGTCTGTCTGTCTGTCTGTCTGCCTGTCTGCCTCTATGCATGTATGTATGTATGTATGTATGTATGTATGTATGTATGTATGTATGTATGTATGTATGTATGTATGTATGTATGTGTATGTATGTATGTATGTATGTATGTATGTATGTATGTATGTATGTATGTATGTATGTATGTATGTATGTATGTATGTATGTATGTATGTATGTATGTATGTATGTATGTATGTATGTATGTATGTATGTATGTATGTATGTATGTATGTCTGTATGTATGTATGTATGTATGTATGTATGTATGTATGTATGTATGTATGTATGTATGTATGTATGTATGTATGTATGTATGTATGTATGTATGTATGTATGTATGTATGTATGTATGTATGTATGTATGTATGTATGTATGTATGTATGTATGTATGTATGTATGTATGTATGTATGTATGTATGTATGTATGTATGTATGTATGTATGTATGTATGTATGTATGTATGTATGTATGTATGTACGTACGTATGTATGTTCGTGTGTACGTATGTACGTACGTATGTACTTATGTATGTACGTATGTATTTACCTACGTATGTATGTACACATGTGTGTATGTATTTTGTATGTATGTATGTATTTTATTTAAGTATCCAGAAACCATGAGCTGTTAACGCTTTGGCTCGGTACTATGGATATCTTTACCCAACTGCCTTGATTCAAAAATAGATACCTTAAATCTTGGAGAAATGTAGCTTTTTAGCCTACCCCCTGACGTGAACCCGAACCACAAAGAGTTCGTCACTCAGTCGCCGTATTGTCAGGTTTAACCAACTGCGCTAGCTAGCCGATGGCAGAGCAGTAGACAAGTTTTAATTATGTGGACTTTGAGAAAGCTTTTGACTGCCTCCTTTGAGACAGTCTCTGGAAAATATTCCGACATTATGGAATTCCAGAAAAGATAGCCCTACTTGATTGGAGTTATTCTACTTATTTTCCACTTCTCCGTGCGTTTTAGGCATATAGGGCTAGACCTACATTTTATAGATTAATCAACACGTGGTTGGTAATGTGTTCAACAGCACGCCAGCCGCCTTTACTGGCTATGTCTCTATCTGGTACTAAGTCAAAGCTGGGAGACAAGGTCGTTTAAAAATATAGATGTAAAACAAAAAAATGTTTTTCTCTGTCAGTTTTCAAACCCTCGACCATCTGAACCGCCCCGGAGTTAATTTCGTATTTATAAATTTTTGTATCAGTGAGATCATTTATTGCAGATACTGACGAATGCCAGTTGAATGTCTCACCCTGCCAGCACACCTGCACCAACACCTTGGGTTCTTACATCTGCCAGTGTGACGGACCAGGGTTCAAACTGTCACGGGATCTGTCCTCGTGCTTAGGTAAGTGGGTTGTTCCGTGTTTTGCTTCAGCTATTCGCAAGTGGAGAAGTATCACTTTCTAAAAAGATGTAATGAGATAATGCGCTTTAAAAAAAAAAATATTTAACGGTAATGTAGTAAAGACATAGCAGTACCTCGGCATATGTTTGCTTTGGTTTACGTTTAACTTGTTATAGACCTGTTTAGATGAGCAAACTCGGGCTTGGATTACGACCTTTGTTTGGAATACGACTGGCGTGCTAGAACCTGGGAGCCTAAACGAGGTCGCAATGGCGAAAAGTTAGTTAGCTAGTTGCTTTTCTTTTAAATGACATTGCAGAACCAACCGTAGCACTTTTTGACTCTTGTGATTTTTCTAGGCTAATTAATGTCCAGTAGTTTGCCATTGCTTTTGGACGGCCGGTTTCTCGATACTACTGTTGAAACCAGCGCAAGGCCTGCAGCTGGTATCGAAACCAGCACTCTGGCATTACGAAGCTTGTTCGCAACGCCTAAGCCACAGAAGTAGCGAAAAGAGACCGACAGAAAAACTCTACCAGAATATTACATTCCTAAAGTTTTATTAAATTATAGCAGACACTCGATTATTCTCGAGAAAGTTAAAAATGTGATATTTTCATTTGTTTAATCTAATGTATGTATTAGGCAGTATATATATCAATTTTATTTTTACAAACCATCAATTTATAAAATTCCCATAATAATAAGATTATTTTTACCTCTTGGAAACCGATTAATCATTCTTAGTTTGATCCTTTATCTACTGTTTCAGTGACCCCATGAAGGGGATCCCTATTTGGAATGAAAAGGCTCATTGCTCCCTAACAAGGATGTCGTAACAGTCAACTAATTAGGGTGGGTCTGAAGTGGGAGTGTATCTTCATGAGGGACGAGGACAAACCATCTGCACACACATGAGCCAGAAACGGATGTGCACGGAGTTGTCAAGTTCAGTAACAAGAGCAAATCAAAGTTGAAAAGTGGACAAACATCCAGTAATTTCCGCTAGGGTTTACAGCCAGCTAACGCGAAGAAGAAAAAGAAGAAGAAGAAGAAGAAGAAGAAGAAGAAGAAGAAGAAGAAGAAGAAGAAGAAGAAGAAGAAGAAGAAGAAGAAGAAGAAGAAGAAGAAGAAGAGAAGAAGAAGAAGAAGAAGAAGAAGAAGAAGAAGAAGAAGTAGATGAAGAAGAAGAAGAAGAAGAAGAAGAAGAAGAAGAAGAAGAAGAAGAAGAAGAAGAAGAAGAAGAAGAAGAAGAAAAAGAAGAAGAAGGAGAAGAAGGAGAAGGAAGAAGAAGAAGGAGAAAGAAGAAAAAGAAGAGAAAGAAGAAAAAGAAGAAGAGGAAGAAGAACAAGAAGAATGCGGACTTGAACCCAAGACATTCGAGCCAACGGACTATCATACAATTACTATCTTTCAGTAGCTGCTCCCCCAAGCAGTATTATCCCTCATCTTGGATAGATATGTAAGTTATCTTGCCGCATGGTTACCTGAGGCTGACATTTACTATCCCCGAGCAGACATAAACGAATGTATGGAAGGAGACAATCCGTGCCCTAACATTTGTGTCAACACTGTGGGCTCATACTCTTGTGACTGCACCACACCTGGTTATCACCTGGTTGCCAACACCTCAGTCTGTGAAGGTAAGGATCTTTATAGTTTGGATTGACATACTTACAGTAGCAAAGCATGTAAACAAAGGTAGACGCACAGCGCGACAGACAACAGTCAGTTAAACGAAGGTAGACACACAGTGAAACATACAACAGTCAGTTAAATAGAGGTAGACACGCAGTGAGACATACAACAATCAGTTAAATACAGGTAGACACACAGTGAGACGTGCAACAATTGATTAAACTAAAGTAGACACATGGTGAGACACAATAATCGGTTAAACATAGGTAGGCACGCATTAAGACCATACAGTCTGTTAAACAAAGGTAGATAAGCAGTGAGGTATACAACAGTCGGATTTAAAAAAAAAAGGCAGACGAGCAGTGAGACGTACAACAATCTGTTTAACAAAAGTAATCTTGCAGGGAAACACACAACAGTCAGTTAAACAACTGTAGACACACAGTGAGACACACAACGATCGGTTAAACGAAGGTAGACACGCATTCAGACACACAACAACAAACGGTTAAACGAAGGTAGACACGTAGTGAGACACACTTGAACCCACTAGCCTAAAATGGGTACAGTAAAACTTTGATTAACCCCTTCTTGTTCCAGCGACAATTTCTGTTATCGTTATTGTCGTTAAAAAAATGATGACGATGAAGGATCAGCTCTTAACCAAAAGCCTCCACCTTGCCACTAGGACACAGAAACAATGTGTTGTCAAAGTACATCGACTGGTTTGAATTGCAAGAGGAGGCAAAGGCAACGCAGATACTACTCCGACAGGAAACATTGCCGCGTAGGCATCTCGAGCCTCGGAGGCACAGAAGGAGATGACAGATTTTTTTAAACTTACCGAGGTTTATGGTATTACTATACGTTTTTAAACATTACAACTCTGATATTAAAGTTTATGTTGGTCTTTTTGTAAAATGTATGTATTATTCACTTTTAAAGGACTGATTTCATTTTAGTCCCAAGAATAAAGTGAAATCACATTACTGTACAGATGAATTAGGAGATTTCTGTGATCCGTCTATTCGGTTATCAGCCACAGCCATGGTCCAAATTGTGAGGGCTAATCGAAGTTTGACTGTAGCTAGAAATGCCCTGGTTGCAAAAATGTTGACCGTATCAAATATCAGTTCTTCAACTTAACTATGAGTGATTATTAGTCTAAACCAGTGGTTATCACGGTGGCGGAAGGAAATTTCAAATGGGGCGTCACGGAAATTTTAAGTATTTGTACATGTAATAATCGGCCAAACTAACATTTTTGTTTTTGATGAGATTATATATGAAATATTTTGTAAAAATATTTAGAAAATAAAGGACCAAAGACGTTTTGATCTTTGATACTGTGATTGGTGTTAATGATTTTCTCCAAGTTTTTGTCAACAGTGATTTGGATTAGGGAATTGAACCGTCAGAACACTGGGCTTACACGAGAGACCCGGGTTCAAATCCTAGGTGGGGCTGGGGATTTTTGTGTGTGGGTGGGGGTGCGGCGGGGGGGGGGGGGGGGCAAAAAAAAATGCTCACCTACACAGTCGTGACGACAGCATTATCCATGCGGCCATAAATTCTCAGGCTCAAAGACATCCCTGCCTACATGGCAAAAGTGGTATCACAAAGGCAGAAATTGGCTTGGGATTATTCTTTCTACCAAACTAACGTTTGTGTTTTCAATGTAATTATAAATAGAAATATTGTGTTAAACCATTTATAAAACAAAAGGCCAACGGCGTTGTGGTCTTTGATACTTTGATTGGTTTTGATAATTTTCTCCAAGTTTTTGTCAAAAATGCCTCCGATTATTCTTTCTGTCCTCCCTTTGTTATTCATTTGTGTTATGAAGTGGGAAGGAGGGGTATGAGGATCTTGTCGTATAATGAAGGGGGTGCCACCTTAAAAAGGCTAAAACCCTTTGTTCTATACAAATATGGAGCTGTCCTCATATTTCTGATGTATCTCATGCGTGTTGTTGGTATGTTTGTGTTATGTTACTTTCTGTTAGGTTCAGGCAAGGAAATCACCAGCTATGGCGAGTGTGACTAGCAAGACCCACTTGCGATAAGAACAATCTTTCATAGTCACAGCTCTGGATTTCATTATTGTAGTTGTGTGTAGTTAGACGCCAGTTTTGCAGTTTTCTGATTATCCGTATTGCCTTCATAATTTTACTTCTCCGTACAACTGGGCCTTTACAGTGGCTTTCAACCTTCCTCGTGCCGCGACCCTTTAATACAGTCCCCTTTTTGTTGTGGCGACCCCCATACAATTATTTTCCTTCACAACATCAATAAATATGTTTTCTGGTGGTCTTAGGTGATCCCTGTGAAAGTTCGTTTGACCTAAAGAAGGGTCGAGATCGGCAGGTTGAGAACCGCTGGTCTATAGCATCTGTGGAAATATGTAAAAATAAAAATTAAAAATACTTCAATTACCTACTTGCAATAGGCACGGTCGCTGTTTTTAGTAGGGGTAAATTGTATTTTGTTTTTGATAGATGGCGGCCGTTGCATGTTATTCTATTTGTAGACTAAAAGGATATTGTTTTGTCGCTTGGCTGAGTACATGGCGTGACACTGTGAGCTGTGGATTTCATTTGGAATTTTTTAGACTGTCACCATTGTGGTGTTGTGAATTGTAGAGTCAGAAAATGGCTCATGGCTTGTTGCCACACAATTGGTGGTGCCTTATGTGATTACAATTAATCGTGGTGCAATTGCCGGTCTGTTTGTAACTATTACTTCTGTCGATGATGAACTGCATTTCCAATGTCGGACTGTTTGTGTTAGCACTTCTGACAGCTGACGGATATGCTTTTAATGCGTATAGATGCTGTCGGATATGGTGGGACTACAGTATGTGTGCATTTTCCCCACAAGGGGCAGTGATTAATTCTGTGTGTTTTTCGCTCGAACAGAAGCGGTGCAACTATTGGGCGACACGCTTGCTTTGAAGCTGAAACTACGTCACGACCATCTTTAGGCTATAAATTTAAAGTTAAAGCCGGATGTGAACTACGTTTACCAGATTACGTAATTGTAACTGTAAGTTTTTGGTGGCCTTGAAGTAAAGTGTTTTCCCTATTGCAGATGTAGCAAGTTTGTAACTATCGAAGAAATTTTCATGAAAGCATTTCCTTGTTTTTTCCTCAGATATAGACGAATGTCACCAGACACACAACCCCTGCTCCCACACGTGTGTAAACGTACCAGGGGGTTTCACCTGTATGTGTCCAGCTGGTTTCGAACTCACCCCACAAACTAACTCAACCGTCTGCAACAGTAAGTTTTTTGTAACATTATAGTTACAGCCCTTTAGTTACTACTAAAAATGTTCAAAGCATTAGAATGTTGACATCAACAGATTGTTCATGTTCACACTACTAGAATATTTACAGTACTGACAAATTTGAACATGGGTATAATATTTAAAACGCAAGGTTTTTACAGAACTAAAATATTTTAATTGTAGTGTTTACTATAATAGAATACTCACAGCACTACTTGCAGTGAAATTTGTACAATAATGAAACTTTACACATAAAATAGATTGCCTATTTATTTACAGCGATATACAAATGTATGTAACCATATGGTTTACAATACTAGAAATTTTAACATCCCAAGTTTATTTAAAGAGCTGAAAATATTGTATGTACTGTGTACGTTTACATCACTAGAATGTTTAGAGCACTAAAATGTTTAGAGTATTAGACATGTTTACATTTTACAATGTCTGTGAATACTTACTTCACCGGTTTGTTTACAGTCCAGGAAACGATTCTGCTGCTGGAAATGATTACATCACTGGACTGTTTACAGAACTAACATGTATTGTAATAAAGTATGTTACAGATGGTCTTCCTGGTTCCTGAATCGAGTGGGCCTGAAATTGTAATCAATCCCTAAACACTTGTTTTCTGGTCAAACAATCACCTAAATAACAACAAAAAGTAAAAAAGTAAAGGACCCTTTCCACGCCTGAGGCATGTGGGGCATATAGAGCTAGATTGATATTTTATAGACCAATCGGCCCTTGGTGGGTGATGTGGTCAGTATCACACCGGCCGCCTTTACATCTTAGGACTGCACCCGGTACCCACTCCAGGCTGGGTCGACCTGAGAGCCAAGGTCATTTTTGAGAACAGTCAGGCTCCATCAGTACCAACATGTTTAGGTTTAGGTTTAGTCAACGGATCAACATCACGGCACAAGAGTAGTCACCCATAAGTGCTCGGTTCTACTTCTGACTCAAGCCTGAGTCCGAAGAATCGCATCACATTGCACGAACTCCGTAGCACCGGCGAGGATCCTGAAATACTTTGGGTAGATTTTTAACTCAGAATTTTGTCCGGGCAGCGCCGTTAGGCTACTCTTTTTTTCAATTTCCAACTGCCAAGGGATTTTATAAGTTTGCAACAATACACACGGGCGTCCGATCCTACTACCTAGAGTCCAGAAGCAATTACAAGAAGTCTGCGTGAAAAAAATTCCAGACCTTACCGGGGCTTGAACCAGGGACTCCAGCACTCGAGGCGGACGCTATGCTTCGAGACCATACCACTGAAAATGTTTAGAAGAATGAAAATGTTCCATCCCAATAAGATGCCTGTAATGTACAAAAACTATACGATTCGAGGCACTAGAAACACTTGGAATCCAAAACAAACACTATTAATACCTTTGGTTGCAGTTGGCCTTGGATGTGATATTGACCACACCTAATGGGTGTCCCCAAAAATGTCATGGGAAGTAAAAGCATCCGGCGTAATGTTGGCCACATCTTCCATTTAGTGTCAATAAAAAAAAGTAAAGATCCCTTTCCACGCCTTTAGGCGTATTGGGTAATGGGAAGAGCGCCCAAATTGTTTCAGACCATCAGCACTCGATGGGTTATGTGGTCAGCATTACGCCGGCCGTCTTTACTTTCCCAGGACATTAGTGTCTATAGTTTCAATAGGTCAACAAAATATATACTTAGCCCAATTCGTCATTGGCTCTCTCTCTCTCTCTCTCTCTCTTTCTCTCTCTCTCTCTCTCTCTTTCTCTCTCTCTCTCTCTCTCTCTCTCTCTCTCTCTAGTTGTACCCCACCAGGACATTACACAAGCGATAAACACCCGGCGACACAAAGTGCCACCATGTGGATGAGGATCACCTATGGAGAGGTCCCGGAAACCCCTCTCAGCCCTTATGGTCAGATTCGTGGCCCGATATATTTAGGGCCCCCGCCAAAAGCCAGGGAGGGGCTTCAAATAACAAAAAAATTGCATCCCACATGGGGACGACAATGTCACTGTCATTGGCAACCAAAGGGTCTTTTGCACCTTTTAGTTACTTGCTAAAATGTCAATGGCACAAAATTGGAATATTTAGGCTTCATAAGAAACATCAATTGAGACTGTTCAGTAACAGTCAGAAGGAGGATGACCACTGCATTGCCACGATTAAACTACATTAAAGGTCCACAGTTCAGACCAGCAAGAAAATCAGCGTCAAAATTATAAGACCCAGCGGCATCTCTGTAGCAACATACGGCTGAGAGTCGTGGATTGTCTCGCAGTCCTTAAGATTTTGAGCTGACATGCTATAGAAAGACTCTCAGGGTTCAATGAACAAAGAAGCAAATAAATACTGAGGTCCCAAATGATCTGAACAATAGGGAAGATTGGCTAGTAAACAACATATTGTTGTCTCGGAAGATTGGCTAGTAAACAGAATATTGTCTCAGACGATTGACTAGTAAACTACATATTGTCTCGGAAGATTGGCTAGTAAACAACATATTGTCTCAGACGATTGGCTATTAAACAACATATTGTCTCAGACGATTGGCTAGTAAACAGCATATTGTCTCAAAAGATTGGCTAGTAAACAGCATATTGTCTCAGACGATTGGCTAGTAAACAGCATATTGTCTCATAAGATTGGCTAGTAAACAACATATTGTCTCAGAAGATTGGCTAGTAAACAACATATTGTCTCGGAAGATTGGCTAGTAAACAACATATTGTCTCAAAAGATTGGCTTGTAAACAGCATATTGTCTCAAAAGATTGGCTAGTAAACAACATATTGTCTCAGAAGATTGGCTAGTAAACAACATATTGTCTCGGAAGATTTGCTAGTAAACAACATATTGTCTCAGAAGATTGGCTAGTAAACAACATTTTGTCTCAAAAGATTAGCTAGTAAACAACATATTGTCTCGGAAGATTGGCTAGTAAACAACATATGGTCTAAGAAGATTGGCTAGTAAAGAGCATATTGTCTCGGAAGATTGGCTAGTAAACAACATACTGTCTCGGAAGATTGGCTAGTAAAGAGCATATTGTCTCGGAAGATTGGCTAGTAAACAACATATTGTCTCAGAAGATTGGCTAGTAAACAACATATTGTCTCAGACGATTGGCTAGTAAACAAAATATTGTCTCAGAAGATTGGCTAGTAAACAACATATTGTCTCGGAAGATTGGCTAGTAAACAACATTTTGTCTCGGAAGATTGGCTAGTAAACAACATTTAGTCTCGGAAGATTGGCTAGTAAACAGCATATTGTCTCAGGAGATTGGCTAGTAAACAGCATATTGTCTTGGAAGATTGGCTAGTAAACAGCATATTGTCTCAGACGATTGGCTAGTAAACAACATATTGTCTCAGACGATTGGCTAGTAAACAACATTTTGTCTCAAAGGATTGGCTAATAACAACATTTTGTCTCGGAAGATTGGCTAATAAACAACATTTTGTCTCGGAAGATTGGCTAGTAAACAACATTTTGTCTCGGAAGATTGGCTAATAAACAACATTTTGTCTCGGAAGATTGGCTAGTAAACAACATTTTGTCTCAGACGATTGGCTAGTAAACAACATTTTGTCTCAAAAGATTGGCTAATAAACAACATTTTGTCTCGGAAGATTGGCTAATAAACGACATTTTGTCTCGGAAGATTGGCTAGTAAACAACATTTTGTCTCGGAATATTGGCTAATAAACAACATTTTGTCTCGGAAGATTGGCTAATAAACAACATTTTGTCTCGGAAGATTGGCTAGTAAACAACATTTTGTCTCGGAAGATTGGCTAGTAAACAACATTTTGTCTCGGAAGATTGGCTAGTAAACAACATATTGTCTCGGAAGATTAGCTAGTAAACAACATATTGTCTCAGAAGATAGGCTAATAAACAACATATTGTCTCTGTTTAACATTCTGCCAAGCCTTTCCTCCATTTTGGCCAGACGTCCAAAGTTCTGCAAATGACGTGCTACATGACGACGGAATATCTTCAGTCATGCAATATTTAGTATCGCTACCATCTAATTTCTTTTATCAGCTCATGTTTTGTATAGACAAATCCATTATGATGCAGACTGTTTGTATTTATTAAGTGTGTCCCTATGGGATGTACAGAAGTGAGCAGGACGCTACCTGCCAGCGATGTCCTCCAGGGACCAACACGACCCAGAGAGGCAGCACATCCATCGAGCAATGTCTTTGTCGGGATGGATACAGGGAGGACCCTGGACGAAGTGGACTTTGCATAGGTAAGCCATACTATAATCTGTTTAATGAGAGCAGTGGACAGTTGCCGTTTGTGTTAGCTAGCCAATGTTAGGAGATCATGACGTAAGATTTTCCGTGTTGGCTCAGAGGCCAGTTTGTGTTAGCTAGCCAATGTTGGGAGATCATGACGTAAGATTTCCCGTGTTGGCTCAGTGGCCCGTTTGTGAGGAAATAATAATAGAATAGAAAGTTGCAAAAGGCGACTAATTAAGGATTTGCTAAAATAAAATATGATGGGCTGAAAGGTATAGATATCGAAGCCTAGCTGAAAAAATACACGACATGCCAATCATCCTTTTAAATGTGGATGTAGGCAGTAAATGTAGAAGGATTAGAAGAAGAAAAAAATAGAAGAAGAAGAAGAAAAAGAAGAAAAAGAAGAAGAAGAAGTAGGAAGAAGAAGAAGATGATGATGATGAAGAAGAAGAGGAAGAAGAAGACAAAGAAAAAAGAAGAAAAAGAAGACAAGGAGGAGAAGGAAGAAGAAGAAAAAGAAGAAACAGACACAACATTCTGAAAACTATGTGTAACAATGGTGTGTGTTTGTGGGGGGGGGGGGGGGGGGGGGTTGAAAAGGGGTGGGGTGGGGGTAAGTTGGTGAATTCCAACGTCAGTCTAATATGAGTGTCACGAAATAATTCTGAAAGTAAAAGCGGCGGTTGTGATACTGAAAGAAATACCCACCGAGAACCAAAATATAAATGCAATGGTGCCAGCAAAACATACTACAAGGTCCGACAATTGAGTAATGAGACTAATTCCATACAAATGAAAATTATCAACAGTTGAAGATATAACCTGTATTTTATTCACAGTAAGCCCCTTGTGCATTGATACAACAACTGGCACGATATAACAAACACTGGAGCGACCTCTGTAGTTCATCTGTTGTTATGGCCCTTAAAGTCATTGTTACGGCCCTTTGGATGTCATAAATGTCGTCAAAGAAGCGTCCTTTTAAAGGAAACTATAATTCTGAGAATAGAAAATAGTCACAGTGAGACAAATCTGGGGGAATAGGGTGGATGGTTGAGAACACGCACTTGTTTTTAGGCCAAAATTCCTGTACAACTACCGCCCTTTGAGCTGGCGCATTGTCATGAAGAAGAAACAAATTGCCAGGTGTTAAATATAAACTGCCAAGCAACATTTTTCCTGCCCAAATCTTCCACTGAAATTTTACGAATATTGTCTGTATTAACACCAAATTCATCTACCATCATCCTCACAGTCGAACAACCATCTTCTTTTATCAGTTATCGGAATTTTGCAACGAATTCCTCATTACAAACAGAAATTAGGCGTTCATGTCTAGTTGCATTAGTAATCATTTCCACACTACATTTGTATCTTGGATACCAGCTGAAAATCTGTGCACGAGATAAACAATTTCCCCCATAAACTTGTTGCATCAATTCAACTGTTGTAATGTCGCTTTTTCTGAGTTTTAAACATAATTTAATGACAGCTTTTTTTGCTAAATGCTGATTACGTAACAATGCACCTCTGACTAGGTTAACAAAATGGCGGCTTGTTTGCTGTCTGCTTATGGGGCGGTGATGAAAAGTTGCCAGAAAAAAAAAGACTAAGGTTGCCTCTATTGATTCCATGTTCTGAATCATAGATGGTATTTTTGTCTTAGCCATAATAATATCATTCTCATTACTTAATTGTCGGACCTTGTAGAACACCTCAATGTTATGTTATGTTATCACAATCGACGTCTTTGCACACTGGCACTCCCATGCGTGCTCAGCTCTTCGATGCAGCAGCCACTCTAAGGTACCTCTACTGACGGTTCCCATCTGGAGTTGATTATAGTATCTCCTGTCTTTACCTCGAAGACGGCATAGTCGAGCTTCACCAAGCATATTTCTCGGTCACACAGTCGTTTTAGCGCCAGATTCACTATTATCCCCAGCCGAGTCCGTTCAGCGTTGATTATATCAGCTCTGTCCATGCTTCTTGCCGTTTGCATTCATGCATTACTTGCCAGCTGGTCAGCTCTTTCATTGCCATTTACTCTTGCGTGCCCAAGTATGTAAATCCAGATGATAGGGGTTAACTGCGATTTTCAAAAGGTTTCCACCCATTCGGAGCAGAGTCTACCTGTCGCGATTTCCTGAATCATGTTCGTAGAGGTTGACACGATTACCGCATGTGTGGTCGCTTGTTCTGCTTCCCATGCTAGTGCTCTGGACGCAGCAGACATCTCCATGGTCATGCCTGACGTAATCGTCTGGTAAGTGTCGCTGTCCTTTTTTAAAAATTGTTTTTCTCGTCCTTTATGCCCATGCTGATCTTGACCCATGCCCCACGGACCCATCTATGTAAATGACTAGCAAGACCCACTTGCGTTAAGAACAGTCTTCCACAGCCAGAACACAGGATTTCATTCTTCTGTCTGTTTGGTGTGAATGCTGATCAGTCATTGCCCTAACCTCAACGTCTGCGATGGCAGGTATTTGATGCTTGGGTACCTTCCAAGTGTTATGACAACATCATGGTGTTCACAGCGGTCCTTAACTTGCTATAGTATGGCTGAAATGTGCGTGTACGCATGCCTGGTACTCTGGTAGTCTGGTAGTCCTTGTTTCAGCTTCATAGCAAACGGGTCACCCCATCTTTGCTCCGCTCCCATGCCAACGATAAACACACAGAATGTTTATCAGTCCCTTGTGGAAAGATTGACGGTAGTCTGGTAGTCCTTGTTTCAGCTTCATAGCAAACGGGTCACCCCATCTTTGCTCCGCTCTCATGCCAACGATAAACACACAGAATGTTTATCACAGTCCCTTGTGGAAAGATTGTCAGACTGCTGTCTCAGCATCTAGCATACACTCGCATTAAAGCGTATGGTAGCCATCCGAAGTGCTAACACAAACAGTCCGACATTAGAAATGCTGTTTCTCATTGATGGGAGCAGAAGTCACCAACAGATCTGCAGTTGCCCACGCGATCAATTTTGATCACAAACGGGCACCATCAAAATTGCGACGACAGTCATCGCGCCATTTTCTGAATGTATTATTCACACCACCACGTTGGTCACGGTCGAAAAAACATTCCAAATTAAATCCGCAGCTCACAGTGTCACGCCATGCATTCAACTCAGAAGCTGGGCGACTAAACTATATCCAGTCTACAAATGGAACAAAAATGCATCGGCCACCGTCCGGCAGAAGCAAAAAAATTGCCTCGGCTCCAAAAACAGCTGCCTGCCTAGCGTCCATTTTTACCGGATCTTCCGTACGCATGCCTGTTTGTGTGTTTGTGTGTGTGTGTGTGTGTGTGTGTGTGTGTAGGCGGGCCAGTGTGTGTGTACATATGCATGCTCAGGGAACCCCCCCCCCCCTCTCCACCACACTCCCTTCCCTCTATGCGGATGTTCTCTATAACACAGTGGTTTTTTTTTTTTTTAATATTCAGATGTTGACGAGTGCAAATTGGGATTACTAAAATGTCAACAGGATTGCGTCAACACTGACGGCACGGCGCGCTGTGATTGCCTTCCAGGTTTTGTTTTACACGCAGATAAGATTTCATGCAGTGGTAAGACATTAAACAGACAACAATAAATACAATGCCCAGACTGATATCTGATATTCGCCTCTTTCTGTTCATAGTTTTCTCATGTCCATCATTCCAATTTCCAACTATCGATTTTCGTTCTCCGTGACAGCCTCATTTGTTTTCTTGTGTGTTAAGTTTTGTTTTGTTGTTGTCTTATTCGCTGATGAAAACTTTGGTCGAAACGTTCGTTTGTAATTTGTTATCGTACTTTTTCTTTTCTCCTGGTTGAACTTCTTATTCATAATTGTGTTTAGTGTTAATTTAGTTCATTGTTCAAAGAATGTTTGAATGAACATTTTTCTGTAAACGCAGTCACACGAGAGAATGGACAAGTAAATTTATTGCCAGCAGAAACGTCAGTTTTATTTTCAATCGTTATAGATAAAGCAAACAGTCTGAGGTTTCATTATGAACCAATGCTAGGCAAGCATCTCATGTAAGATGTAACAACAAATCCAGGGATATTTGAATTAGGATTCTGGTTCCCTTCGGGCGAGAAGGAAAAACAAACGACAACATAATTTAACATTTAAAATCAGAATGTTACTGGAAAAAAAGGAGAAATGCTTGCAACAGTAAAGCGTCTTTTCTCACGCCTTTATGGGGCATATTGGGCAAAGTCTATAGTGAAAGACAAAACGGCACTGGAAGTATGATATCGTCACCATCACGCAGACAGCCTTTACTTCCCATGACTTCACCTGATAATCATTTAATGTTAGGTCGACCTGGCAGCTGTGTAGCTGCTTTTATAAATTGTTGTAAGTCAAAGACGATGGCGTTATATCAGGCGCGCTGTCTCCAAAACATTTTTGTAGAGGTAGGGAAAAAAGGGGATGGGGGTTGGGGTGGGGGCGGGGGGGGGGGGGGCTCTCAGCATCTTATCATCTTCTAGGGACAGAGAAGGGCTGCGTGGTCTCGAAGCATGGTGTCTACCTCAAGTGCTAGAGGTTCTGGGTTCAATCCCCGGTAAGGGCTGGGATTTTTTAGCATGGACTTGTGCTTCTAATAATTTCCCCTGGTCTCTGGGTAGTGAGATCGGACGCCCGTGTGCATTGTTGCGTACGTAAAAAATCCCTTGGCAGTTGGAAATCGAAAAAAAAAAAATAGCCTAACGGCGCTGCCTAAAAAAAAAAAAAAAATGTAGTTAAAAATCTACCCGAAGTATTTCAGGATTCTCGCGGTGATACAGAACCTGTGAACTGTGCTGAGCTTCTTTAGGCTTAGACTTGAGTTAGAAGAACAACAGAGCACTATGGGCTACTTCCCTTGTGCCATGATGTTGTTCCGTTGTTGAAACATTCAAACCTTCTAGGGACAGGTCTCAAGAAACTTGAGTCATGCTTAAGTTTTCCAGCCTGTGTTGGCTAAGGCCCTCTAAAAAAAATGTTAGCACCCCCCCCCCCCCCCCCCCTCCCCCTTCCGCCACAATATATTTAGAGGGTAAGGGCTAATGGCACGAGAGCTCACCCAGTTTCCGGCACCAATGCAGTATAATGAGCATATCATGAGCACAAGTAAACAGGCAATCACCTAGCAGACACTGGAATGGGAAACAAATGATATGAGGAAATTCGGACGTCCAAAAGAAATCTTACGACAAACAATGAGAGAGGCCACAAGGGCTAGGCTGGATTCTATCCCTGGTATTGAAACAATGACACAGGATAAAAGCGGTTGAACGAATAAACTGTAAACCCTCAAGTGACACATAACTACACAAACATGATGATGATAAAATGAATAATGTCTACATCTTATGGCATTTGCTTCACGAGACGGAACCTGTATGATTATGGCCGGCGTGCTATGACGTTTCTGAAAAACCTAGCATTTCACCAATCAAATAATCATCAACTCTTTTCCCTGATAGCATGGCGTTTTTTTTTTTAAATTATAGGAAAGGTGATGATATGCACCACATTGTTTTTCTATAAAAGGTGCCAATGTGCTCCACAAAATACCTATTATAGTCACGCTAAAAGTGAAGAAAGGATGCGTTATAAATGGCGCGCCTACTGTATACTGTTGGGTACCTTTAGGGAAAAAAGCCCAGTCTGAGAGCACTTCTGCGATAACTATATTGCCCACCTGTCCAGTACAATTCTTCCATCTCTTGTGCACAGATGTCAACGAGTGTGCAGTGCAACACGGTGGGTGTGCCCACAAATGTGTCAACACAATCGGTTCCTTTCGGTGCGAGTGCAACAAGAACTACAGACTGGTCGACGATGGTCTATCGTGTGAAGGTAATATAGCTATTTTTTTTTTTAAATTAGTTGCAAAGGACTAGCGCTCCCCCCCCCCCCCCCAATTCACTCCACCAGCACCCTATTCCCTCCTCTTCCCGCACAAACACACACACGCACACACACACACTCCGTGGGATAGACAATTAGTTAGTTAGTCTTTCCTCTTGCGTCAAGTGCGGCACATAGGGCAGAGGTCATGACTCTCCATGCAAGGCGGTTCGTTGCAATCTGTTGCAGGTCTTGGATGTTTGAGTGGCCCATGAGTGAGCCTTCCCTGATGATAGTTCTACGTAGGGTTTCCCTTGGTCTTCCACTAGATCTTTTCCCCTGTGGTGTCCAAATGAGGGCTTGGTAAGGAAGTCTTGATTTATCCATTCTAAGGGCGTGGCCGACATAGTTCCAGCGGCGTTTTCGTATAAAATTAGACACATACTCTTGCCTGGATTCTTGCCTTATTTGTGTATTGGTTCGGAAATCTGACCATTTGAAATTTAGTATTCTTCTAAGGCATTTATTTTCAAAACTGTCTAATTTTGTGTCTAGAGTTTTCGTTGATTTCCAGCTCTCGCATCCATAGGTTAAAACTGGAATCACACAAGAATTGAAGATCTTGAGTTTTGTGTGTTTGCTAAGTGTTTTTGATTTCCAGATGTTGTACAGTTTATTGAAGGCACTAGATGCCAGTGCTATTCTAAATGGTATTTCTGGTGCGGTATTTCCTGTAGATGACATCTTGCTCCCTAGATAAGTGAAACTGTTGACTTTTTCAAGGCTGTTGTTGTTCAGCGTGTTATCAACTGAACTGTTGGTAAGGTCTAGAATTTTTGTTTTTGCGGTGTTAGACAATACGCATTTACAATCAGACTGTTAGTGGTATCATCAGAATTGGAACTCTTCGCTGGCTGCTGAAGGTAGGGACGCAGCGCTTATGGGAGTTTCCTGAGTGCCACGATGTCGGTTCTTAAAACTAAGCTAAGGTAGACCAAAATAAACTAAAGGATGTTTAGCACCCGATAGTTTCCCGTGGGACAGTTACTGGTCACATCAGAACTGGAACTCTTCGTTTGCTGCTGAAGATGGGGACGGAGAGTTTATGGGAGTGTCCTGAGTGCTGTGATGTAGATTCTGAATTCAGCATTCAACAATTTTCATTGGGACCAAACTCACGGGTCCTTAACCTTGTTTAATCGCGTAGTAATAACAATAGTATATTATTAATGTATCGAATGGTAGGCTCTTTTGCTAAGTCGATGCGAACGCTTCGTGGTGCCGGGTTCGATCCCAGCTGCGGGTCATGCGCCTTGCGTTGGTTTCGACAGTGGTATCAAGAAAGCCGACCGTCCAGCAGCAATGGCAAACTACTGGATGTAAATTTGCCTAGAAAAACCACTGTTGAGGTTGGTTTTGTAAAGGATACGCAACTAACCTCTACCGAATTACAAATACATATGATAAATATTTTAAATGAAATCAAATGTATAAACAGATACTCAAAAAGATAATTTCAATACAAGTTCGGGGGGTGGGGGAGTGGTCTCTTATTTTTCTTTCATATGTTTTGGGGAAAAAAAAAGGGGGGGGGGGGGGGCTGATTCTTTGTCTGCCAATGTTTGGTAGGGCTCCAGGTTCCTGATTCCTCCAACCTGCAGCGCCTCATGTTCAATAATGCAGGCATGTTTTCGGATGGTACTTTGACACTGAGAGAGGCACGACAACAGCCGATTAGGGTCGGGGATTTAGCTTCTCTTCTCCACAGCACACAGTCTGTACAGTACTGCAGAGATCATGTGTTGTCCATGCAGCCTGATCCCTCTCTCGGCCTGCTTTTTTGACTTCAGAGAAAAGGTAACACCAATACGTTTGGAACAAAGCATGCTGCAGAAGCTGCTTCATCAAAAGAGCAGTGCCCTGTCTGTCCACCTGTTTGAGCTGCCCTCCCAGCCCCCAGTGTTCTTCAAACTTTTTACACCAAGGGATCGGCAATACAGGAGAGATTGTTTTGCAGACCAACTAAGAGCTAAGCAAGTTTATATTCTTTCTTTTCTTGTGTCGTCTCACTGATACCAGGTTGTAGCCCAGTGTTGTGGTTTTCTGTATCTGTCTGGCTCTTTTTGGGTGACCAGGGCAATAGATTTGTTCAGCTTTTTAGCAGATTTCACCTACTCCAATTATCCACCTCTTTCGTGTTATTACCTTTGCTTACCTACTTAATGATCTCTTGTAAAAAAAAAAAAGTCCCATATGCTGTTTCGTCTTGCAGCATTCTCACTAGATGGTCATACCATTTCATGTTTTGCCTTTCAATATAATTCAGACACGGCCTTATTGCAACTTTCTCTCTAATGCTGGTATTCGCAACGCTGTTCCTTTTTGTGTTGTTAGTGACCTTACAGAGACCATTACTAATTTAGTCTTCCCCTTGTGGGATGCAATTTTATTCGAAGTCCCACCCTGGCTTTTGTCAGGGGCTCTGAATATAGCTGGGCCACATTTGTGGCCATAACGGCTGGAAGGGGTTTCTGGGACCTCTCCACGGATGATCCTCATCCGCATGGTAGCACTTTGTGTCACCGGCTGTTTATCGCCTGTATGATAATATCCTGGTGGGGTACAACAAGTAAGCAAGTATGGAGACAGCACATTTCACATGTAGTTATAGTTTATATAGCAATTTTTGTATGCAAAATCCAGTGATGGGAGATTATTACAAATTTCAGCTGAAGCGACATCTGCTGGTGCCTTGTGGTTTGACATTGCAGGAGAATAGTACCGGAATCTTACTACTATTTGGTTAGGCAGACATCTTTTGGTGGAACACCAGGATATTTCAGAGGAACACGGGTACACAAACAAACTGTCCTGGACCACCTGTCAGCCCAGGGGGCTTGTCATCTAGACAGTCAAACCCCACTCCAGAATATTTGTTAATTGGATTAGGCTGCAACCCCCCCCCCCCCCCCCCTCCTCAACACCATCACCACACCGAACTTCCTGAAACAATGTATAGAAGTTTTCGTTTACAGTCTTTGTATCAATCAATCAATCAATCAATCCTCATCGCGCCCAGAGGCACATATGGCAGAGACAAACTGTCGCCACTCAATTCGATTCAATTCGATACAACTGAACCCAGTCACCACAGGATGGAACAACTGGTCATTATCATTTGTGATGAAAGAACAACAAAAACATAATGCATTATTTTAATTATATTGTTTTAATTTTCTTCCCATTGGCAAATTATTTTTATAGAAAAATTGAAGATGATGATGATGTACCTGTATTTTTTTTTTCTGTCTCCTTGTTTCCAGACACAAACAAGAGACATTTTTTAAAATGACAGAACACGACCATCTATGCCAGTGATTCCAAACCATCCTAATGCCGCGACCCTTTAATAAGTTCCCCATGTTGCTACTTCATATCTTCAGTGTATATGTGTTTTCAGTTTTTAGTCTATGGGGACCCCTGTGAAAGGGTCGTTTGCCCCCCCCCCTCCCCAAGGGGTCGCGACCGACAGGTTGAGAACCGCTGATCTACACCGTCCTGCACGGCACCTGATAATGACAGTTTACTGCTAATCTTTAATTATTCCCCGTGCACGTTTTCTGCCCACCATTGCCCTAATTCTTCTGTGTTTTCTCCCTGCCTCTGCTAATGTAAAGATGTCGATGGATGTGACAAGGAGATCTATGGGTGTGAGTATAGGTGTGCCATTACCAAAGGAGGACCTTCCTGTGTCTGCCAACCCGGGTACGAGCTACTGCCAGATGGCAGAAAATGCAGCGGTAAGTCTCTTCATCTTTCCTTGAGTCTGGATGATCTTGGTCAAATTCGTTTTCTTCTTCGGGTTCACCGGTCAGCTTCGATCGAAGGAAATTAGTAGACTTTTTCGACATGTATAATAGGGGGGAACTGGCCTATCTATAACCTGCACCCCACAATGGGGTCCCGAAACCCACACATGGCATCGGTTAGCAAATACAAGGGACGCACTTGGCCATTGCATCTTACATTGGGTGACGGAAAAAAATGGAGAGAAAAAAATGGGGTGGCGTGAAAGGGGAAAAAAAGGGAGGGGGGGGGGGGCTAAGCTCTGTACACATGTTTCAACTTTCATACTATTTAATTCCCTCTTTTCAGCTCATGCAGCAACTGTTTCTATTGTTTTCTATTTTTGCGCTCCGTACTGCAGTTCTGATTTGTCATTAGAATGCACGATTTTATGTTTAATGCTAGTTTTAATTATGTTTGACCTCCACAAATTTCCAAGTGCTATGAAATCACCTCCTGCCTTTTTTATTGTTATTTTAACATCTCTCGGTCCCTCAATCTTTATCTACATTACTGCCCAAATAGGTGTACGACTCTACATTTTGATGGGGGATACCATTAAATGGCATCATAGGGTAATTGATGTTGAGATTTTTGCCAGAACTTCTTCTTCTTCTTCGCGTTCACCAGCTGTACACTCTGGCGGAAAGTTCTGGTTGCTCGTCCACTACTGAACTGCAGTCCAGCTCCAGAACCTGAGTGTTGCGTGTGTATCAGTTTTACAGATCTCATTCTCTTGAATACAGACTGTTGGTTCCTTGCCTCTACGGCAGATGCACTCCGACTTCAAAGGAAGCTCCCCAATTAGTCGACTCTTACGACATGCTTTTGGGGAGGCAGTGGGTCTTTTCTGGTTTTCCCCTTATTGGGGCCCCGGAACCCACACGGGGGTTTGCCAGAACTAAACAAGTTTCAGTGGAGCAAAAGGTATAGAAAAGACGCTGGTGTTGGAAAGGACACCTTGAGAAAACCTGAAAACAATATAACTAGAATGTGTTTGGCACTGGAACCCCCCGGGGCATAGCAATAAAAAGTGACCCCCTCCCTCCCCCGAAATAGAAAAGGGAACTGAAAAGCGAAGTTAAAACAATGGGGAGGACATAGGGTGAGCTGCATGCAATAGCAAAGGGTCGAGCGACTTAGTGTGAGTTGGTAAAGGTCTATGCCTTTTTGAGAAATAGGCAGAAGAAGAAGATGGGAATCTGTGTCCGTCAGTGTTCCCTAGCGTTACAGTACACTCCTGTATTTTCCTGCTCCCGAAGTTCTCACGTGCGCTGCTGTTTTCCCCACCTTTGTTCACCGTTGTTTCACGTGGGATATCGAAGCATACAAGGGTTTCATCTACATTTACAACTGCTCCTATGCTGTAGTTGTGTGTCTTCTGTGAATTTGGAACATGTCTTCGAAACGCTAACAATTTCTGCCAGATCGACCCAGCCTTAAATGTGTACCATGTACAGTCCTGGGAAGTAAAGGCGATCGGCATCATGTTCACCGCATCACCCACTAAGTGCTAACTAGTCTATAAAATATAAGTCCAACCCTATATTACCAATACGCCTAAAGGCATGGAAAAGGGACCTTTATGGCCAGTATACCTACCTAAAGGCGTGAAAATGGACCTGTACTCTCTGAATATTTGAATGTTTGTATACAACATAAGAGTCAACTCATCATATATCGTCTCATTTTGTGGACTGTCGTCTTCCACAGATATTGATGAATGTAAGTTACGTAAAGGTGGCTGCACAGATACGTGTATAAACACACCAGGCTCCTACAGGTGCGAGTGCAACATTCCAGGCTACACACTTTCCAAGGATGGCAAACAGTGCGTGGATCTTAATGAATGCGAACAAGAGGACGCTTGTGAGGATGTGTGCGCAAATTCTATTGGCTCATTCAAATGTTATTGCCGGAAACAGGGATTTGCGCTTGCGCAAGATAAAAGACACTGTGAAGGTAGGTTACCAATGTCTGTATGGTAAAGGAAAGACAGTCTCCCAGTTTACACAATGTTACACACTAGCTCACTTTTGATTGTTCGACCTTTAGCCTACCTCACTTCTGATTGGTCGACATAGAGCCACGTTACCATGCCACAAAGTTACGGGGATTTCCCACAATGCCTTTGATATCGCATGTTGTGTACTTCAGCCCGCCAGCGTTTTTAGCAGTAAAAAAAACATCAACAAACTGGGTCTAACACAAAACCCCATTAGAGAGTGTTGAAACCTATGTCACAGGCATTCTTTTTCTCGGAATAAAAACGTAAATGCAAGACAACCCGGAAAGCAAACAACAGACTTGCACACCCGTAACCTCGAGGAAGGTAGACAAGCCCAACAAACATGGAGGGAACGTGACCTACTTTGTTTGGGGAGACTAACGTGTGTTCAACCGTCTGTATTAGCTGTAATAGGTTCAAACTTCCCGCATACCGCGGTTTCAACTCAGCTGCGGGTAATTTGGCAGCAGACCCCTTTGAGCTGACTTTGACAATGGTATGAGAGCGGTATCGTTTAAAACTGTGGTAAACGTCTTAACATAACATTACGTATTACTAATTCTCCGTACCCACATCTAAGCACATCGGCCCAGGCTTATTCGGGCTCCGTTCGTGCGATGCAGTAGCTATCTCAGTGTCCCCATGCTCCCCTTACCCAGTAGGTGTTAATTTGCATGTCTTCTTTCTTTGCACATGCAGCCGGTTTCTTTATGCTTCATCATCATCATCAACATCATCATCATCATCACCATCATTATCACCCCGCAGCGCTGCGTGTCGTTGGGTCTCTAGTTTCTGTTAACTGTCCTGATCAGCTCTCTCCACCTTTGGCGGTCAGTTGCGATAGACTTCGTGGTTGCATGCTTGAGGCCTGTCTAGTCAGCCAGGTTCTGTAACCAGGTCTTTGTTGGCCTGCCTCTTCTTCTCTTTCCCTCTACTGAGCCTTGCGGTATTGTTTTTGAGAGGCCGTTAGATCTTATGACATGTTCATACCATTGCATTTTTCGCCTTTCCACTGTAGTTGAAAGATGTTTATAGTCGCCAATGTGCTGTGTAATCAAATGGCGAACCTCTTCGTTTTTAATGTGGTCTCTGTATGATATGCCAAAATAATTTCTGAAACATCGCATTTCTAATGCTTGTATCTTCCTTTCAAGTTCAGCTGTTGAGGTCCACGTTTCACATCAATACGTAAATGTACTAATAGCTAGTGCTCTGAGCAATCAAATCTTAGTTTTGCACGAAATTATTTTGGACCTCCATAATTTTTGCTGCTTGGCAAGGACTGAGGTTGTCTGCGCAATCCTAGAATGTATGGTAGTCCTCCTTTAATACCCATTTCCAATAGACGCTTCATCGTCTCTGTCTCCTTTCCTTCAACGACTCTTGAACGCTGCTCATTCAATATATCTGCCCAGCCCCACTTCTTTCTCCACCAACCACTTCAGACTCGGCCAGTCTGTCGGTTGTTTTATTTTCTTTCAAACACGTTGTATACATCCAAGTTAATATATAGGGACAGGACATCCGAAACATTTCCAGGTAAAACTCTACCACAGCGAGTTGAGTTGAGTTGAGTTGAGTTGAGTCAAGAATTGACATCACAGCACTCGGTGCATTCCCATGCATGCCCCGTCCTCATCTTCAGCAGCCAGGGCAGAGTTCCAATACTGATGGTATCGGTCACAATCTGGTTAAATGTCCGTTTGCCTTTCCTCTGAGTGTAGTGAGTCGGCCAGAACCTCTGGTTACATCCAGGTGCCTCATTCTTTCCAGTTCATAATATTCTTCTTTCTCTATCGATTCCGATGCTTGTTCCCAAAGGGCCTTGACCACATATGTCGTGTCATGTATCAATTCACCACCCAGTGGTGCAGATTCTACCACTGCGAATAAGTGCTGTGGGTGATTTCCGAAGTCCTATAAAGTATATGCACCTAAGCTTTAAAAAAAATTCTGAAAATTAAATGTGAATGCAATGATTTTTAAATCAGTATCATTGACTAGCAAAACCATAAATACAATAATGGCAAGTATGAGGAAAGTAAAAGTAAAGATCCCTTTTCACGCCTTTAGGCGTATCGGGCATATGGGAAAAGCACCCATATTTTTACAGACCATCAGCACTCGGTGGGTAATGTGGTCAGCATTACGCCGGCTGTCTTTACTTTCCCAGGACAGCCCATCCTAGTACCCATTTTAGGCTGGGTCGACCTGCGACGCCCCATACCATGATAAAAATCCACGCAGCCTGCAGTGGGTTTCGATCGCGGTTCGTTGGTTTACGAATCGGACTCGCAGCGCCTTAGCCACGGACGCCGCATGAGGAAAGAAAAAAAAAACGAAAAGAAAAATTAAGTAAATTAAATTACGTAATGTTGTTACGTTATTTTATGTTATCATACTTGATGTCACTGCATATTGGGCATTCCCATGAGTGATAAATATATATAATAAATAAATAGAGATAAATTGATTGGCACACGTAGAAAGTAGTAGAAAGATAGGTCACACTAGACAACAAGAAAATCGAAATCTAGTGTATCATACCAGGATTCGAACCTGTCACCTCCAAAAGAAGAAGATACCTCGTCGCAGTCACAACGTGATGTAGATACACCAATGAAGCGATCATACCAAAGTATGCCCCCCCCCCCCCCCCTTTTCCTCCACCCCCTTTTTCTGCTCTCTCTTGTCCTAACAGAAAATTTGCAAAGGTGAATAAATGGTTCCCTGTTATAAACAAATACAAAACAGACAATTAAAATATTTCTGCCACATTAAAAGACCTAACACGCTTTCAAAACCCACACTGGAGGGGACAGTCGAGAGCAAGAGAGCAAGAGATAGACAACGATACAGTTGGGAGGGCAGCATTAATAGATGGACGAACATCAGTCTGAAAGAGTGTAGAACCAAGACAAGACATGGAGCATGTCGGAGATCCCCTCCACTGTACCAAGCCTTCAGTGTGGACACAGCACCAGCCTGGTTGAGCTGTTATGACGCTCTCTGTCCAAGGTTTACATATTTTATGTTACTTTAATTTTTTTTTTATATTTGTCATTTAGCAAACGATAATATTAATAGTGACAATTTTTATTCTTCTTCTTCGCTTTCATCGGCTGTAAACTCCGGCGGAAAGATCTGGTTGTTCGTCCACTTCTGGACTCTAGTCCTGTTCCAGAAACTGAGTGCTGCTTATACATCTGTTTCACAGGCATGACTTATTTGCCTGCAGACTGTTGGTTCCTTGCCTCCCAGGCAAATGTACTCCGACTTTGAGGGAAGTTCCCAATTAGTCGACTAGTACGACATGCTTATGGGCAGGTAGTAGGTCTTTTCTTCTTTTTTTCCCACAATAGGGCCACGGAACCCACACGGAATGTTGAATGTCGAATGTTGAATCAAGAATCGACATCACAGCCTTCGAGACACTCCCATTAGCGCTCGTCCCAATTTTAAATTTTGGTTTGCAGCAAGCGAAGAGTTAAAATTCCAATAGTACCAGTAACTGTCTGATTGTATATCCGTCTCGCCTTTTTCCTGAGTGTCGAGTGTCGGCCGGGCCCCCTTCTAATTCTTCGCAGTGCTTTTCTCCTCAGACTGTAATGATTTATCTATGCCCCGGCACTGTTCATTCGCTTCCAAAGGGCCCTCAAAACATCTATCTTGTCATACATCAATTCACCACCAAGTGGTGCAGAACCGATCAGTCTCTCTGCCTGCTCATTTCCCAAAACACTGGCATACCTGGAAAAAAAATCCAAAGGATGTTGACTAGCCGGGACCATTAAAGTTATGCTTGCCACTCTGCACGGAGCATGCCCAAACGGAGAATACTTGTTATTATTACTGCACACTTAAACAAGGCGTACGCACTTGAGCAACGCCAGTAGAAAATTTTAAAATGATACTCTTAACGATGCCTTGGTAAAAACGGCCTGCCTGAATTGATTAGCAGTAACGAAAAGTAAATGATTCTATCTATTCTTGCTTTTAATCAGACATTGACGAGTGTGCCAGGCCAAGAACTTGCCAGCACAGGTGTACCAACCTACCTGGCTCATACAGGTGTGACTGCGACCCCGGACACTACAAGCACGGCCACAACTGTATTCCATGCGACAAGGGAAGCTACCGAGGTTTCAAAGACTCCGACCAGAGATGCATGTTTTGTCCCCCTGGTATGACAACATCCGGGAAAGCTACTGAGTCAGTCCGCGGATGTTACTGCCCATCGGGTTTCTATGGTAAAGCGGAGTTGAACGAAACATGCGAGGATGTGGATGAGTGTGCAAGGAATAATGGAGGTTGTGATCATAAGTGTAACAACACTGCTGGCTCCTTCCACTGCTCCTGCAGCCTCGGGTACGCCCTGCAGTCGGACAACAAGACATGCATCCCCACCATATGCCCACTGCTGGAGATTCCAAAGTACGCCAAATTTACGACCCCAGAGTGCGAGGCGATGAGTCATGGCTTTCATGTGACTCCAGGGACGACGTGTTCTGTTAAATGCAAGGGTTCCTTTATTTTACGTGGCTCAGAAAGAAGAAGCTGCCTGTCTAATTTTACGTGGACTGGTTCGCAACCCAACTGCACAGGTGAGAGCACTATTATTCATTCAATGTCCTCTTTTGTTATTACATGTCACATAGGGCTCACTGCCTATTGAACCATTCGGTTCTATTCCGTGCAGTTCCCTCGATAACATGGATAAAATCCAGTCCAGCACCTTTGGCCTCTGCCATCAACCTTCGCCTTAGAGTTTCTCCTTGACGTTCTTAATTCCTTTATCTATCTATATGTTAAAACTAAAATAACATTAGAATTGAAAATACGTAATTTGGTTCTTTTCTCTGGGTCATGTGGGTGTGCTGAAAAATGAATAGGTGGACAGATTGGCTGGCTCTGCACAACTTTGTGGAATACAGGTTGTTAAGATCTTAAGGGAGCAGGTATACGATTCAGAACTGATCGTCACAGTCTGGTAAGAGTGATGCAACGATGAGTGACGAGGGGATCTGGCCGAAAATCGACGCTCAGAGGAAAGGCAAGACGGCAACACTATGTCAATGATAAAAATCCGCATATTTTGTTCCACTTCTGTGATGGCAGCTTGTAGGATTAACACCACCAGGATGAGAATCACACAGGTACAAATCCCAGAAACCCGGCTGAACCGTGTAATCAAATAGCAGTTGAATTGGGGCACCACAACAAGGCTGTGAAGTCAGCTGAAGTTCAGTGTGTGTGTGTGGATCTGTAAGGAATGCGTTATTGAACTCTAGCCTCTGACTATCATACTACTGAGCCTTCGTGTAGGGTAAAGGACCCTTTTTGCCTGGCTCTCTAGCGTTGTCAGGTAAACCGGATTGCGCGGTGAACGGGTGACGAACTCCTTGTGGTCCGGGTTCACTCCCAGGGGTAGGCAGAAAAATCCACATGTCTCCCAGATTTACAGTATTTACAATGGAATCAAAGCCGAAAGGTTGCGATATCCATAATACCAAGCCTAAGGGTTAACAACTCATGGCTTCTGGATACTAAAAGAAAGAAAGAAAGAAGGACCCTTTCTACACCTGCAGGCGTTTTGGGCATACAGGGCTAGACCTATATGTTGTAGACCAATCAGCACTCGGTGGGTGATGTGGTTAACATCACTCCGGCCCCCTTTACTTCCCTGGAATTTACGTGGTACCTATTTAATTCTGGGTCCACCTGGGAGCCTAGGTAAGTAAAATGACCCCTTTTCACGCTTTAGGCTTATTGGGCATATAGGACTAGATCTATATTTTATAGACCAATCGGCACTTGGTGGGTGATGAGGTCAGCATCATGTCGACCGCCTTTACTTCCCAGGACTGCACCTGGTACCCACTTAGGGCTGAATCGACCTGTGAGCCAAGGTCACTGCGAGCCAAGGTAAATTTCCAAAAAAAAAAAAAAAAACATACTGCATATTTTAATGATTTTATCCTCAGGGGCGTATTCTTGTGATCGCTTGCCACTGCCACAGAACGGATACCTGGAGCCGCCGCTGTGCATGTTGCTGAGTGTACCCTTCCGAACGCGATGTCACATTCGATGCAACAGCGGTTACAAGCTTCAAGGGCGAATCGCCTCCAAATGTCGGGCCTTTAACAAGTGGAGTGGAAAACTTACATATAGGTGCATCAAGAGGAAATATCTAAAGGACATGTGATGGTCTTAATATTCTACTTTCGCCTTTTATATGTTTGTCTGTCAGACCGCCTTTCTACTTATATGCCCGTCTATCTAAGTACGCACCGCTCTAAATACACATGTGTCTGTCTATTTTTCTGGATTGGTGTGTTTGCATGTGTGCAGATTGTTTCTGTATGTGCAAGCGATTACATGAATAGTTGCTGCATATGTAAATATGTGTGTTTGTGATCGAGCGCGCGTGTACACATAGAAGTTCTTTTTTGTTTGTTTTTTACCTGGATTATTATTGTTGTTGTTGTTTGATATTCCACTATGGGTGGTAAAAGCAATGCATAACACTAACACCTCAACAACAACGGTGACTGGTCGAAATAATCCATCATCAGCAATTGCGTGCCATATTCTAAATTCCGGGCACATCATTAACAGAGATGATGCATTTCGAATTATTTACAATTCGGCCAACCGTAGATTACTTCGATACGCGGAAGCTTTTGCGATTGGCAGATTGAAACATGAACTATGTAGGCAAAACGAAATGGTCGTTGCCCTACGCTTACCTTGGTGAAACCGTTTGAAATGTACTCGAATTTGTGTTTCAGTTTCTAGGATTCAGCTATTTGCTTCATTTTAATTAATTGTTACTGTAGTATGCACCTGATGAGATACAGCGAAATATGCCAGGCAATAAATTGTGCAGTCTATTGTTTGTGTCTTCTTTGTTCGAATACATATTTGCAGAGAATCTGATGATAACAATTTATGGTTCACATGTCTATAGATTATTTGATGTATAAAAAATTGGAGACAGTTTGATTTACGCAAGTTTATAGAGAGTTTATTATCCACAAGTAAATTTCAGTAAATTAAAAAATAATAATTAAGAAATACTAGAAATTTAATCCTCCATCTATTGGCACATGTTACGGTATATAATAATGCAAACACAGTCACTTAAATAATGCATATATTTTCTCATAATAACACACTTATAAGCTAACATTATACCCACATTTTTGGGGGGATACATCATTAAGAAGCAAATTCAGAATCAATCTGAAGGGTGAAGTGAAGTTAGTTGACCCTTAAGCCAAGGTCATTGTTAAAAATTTCCGGCTCTTTTAGGACCTGAATCCTCGAACTTATCATCATCTACCTCAGGGACCTATCTTTCTTCTTCTTCTTTTCCCTCTCTTCCACCTAACAGTTTTGCTGTTCAAAATTTTTGTATATCAAGGGAAAGAAAACATTAGGCCGTGGAAAAGGAATTTCTCAGCCCCTTGTATTTTTTTCGAAATGCCTTCAAGTAAAATCAGGCTTGTGTAAGTGCTTAATAATAATAATAATAAAGTAATAATAATAAGGTGAAGAAGGATATTCTCTATACATAGTGGAGAGAGACACTTAGCCTATTCCCCATGTTAATGGGAGGAAGCTCAACCGCCCTCGATTTCCATTACAACATTTCGGCTAGAGGTTGAGCGCTCCCCCCCCCCCTCTCCTCCGGGCTCTGGCGCCTCTTTGAGGCTGACTCCCCTGGAAAGAGGTTCAAATAGAAGAAAGCAGTGGCACAACCTCTGCCCATATCTCGCAGCCACAAACGCACAGAAACCGCCCGCTTGAACTAATCAATCGCTCGATCATGATTTAGCTGTAATAAATATCGGCTGCAGACAGTTTAAATGAATCGAGCAATAAACGCTAGGAAAGGTAACTGCTCGTCGATAGCAATAAGTTTTCATTAAGGTGGACGTAGATATAGCTTTATTGCCTGGGAACAAACGAGCAAACAGCTGGAATTGATGTACAGTTGGCTGTTCTTGCACATTACCTGACGTTGATGGCCTAATATTGTGTTTCAACCTGTAACTTCACATTTTGCAGCTTTTTTATATTCTATGTTTAGATCAACTTTGATGTTTGTTTTGTAATATAAACATCAGTTCGTACATCCGTCTTCCAACAGGTCATTCATTTGGTCAGTCAACAAATCATCAATCCACGTTTCCATCATGAGAAGTAAAGGCGGCCGGTGTGATGCTGACCACATCACCCACCAAGTACCGACTGTTCTATACAATATAGGTCTAGCCCTGTATGCCCAAAATGGCTAAAGACGTGAAAAGTGACTTTGAGCTTTATATATCCATCTGCCTAGAACATTCCATATTTTAATAACATTGAAACTGATAACATTAAATCTTAGTTTTCTTCCTTCCTACCTACCTACCCACCTACCTACCTACCTAACCACCTACCTACCTACATACCCACCTGCTTACCTACCAACCTGCCTACCTACCTACCTACCTACCTACATATCTACCTACGTACCTACTTTCATGCTTGAGGGCTGATATACAAGAGACGACTGTAATCAGGTCTACATGCCCAGTGTATGACCTTTAAAAACAATTGTTTTCTTTATTTAATTTCTTTTCTGTCCACCTTCTACTCACCTATGTAACTTCTGATTCTCGATATCTGTCTGTATCTGTTGCAGTCTGTCTACCTCTTTCTGTATATTTGTGTCTCTGTCGACCCGACTATATTACCCTAGATGGATGCTGATTCAAATCTACACATGCCGTGGTACATCTGAATCCAGGAGACACACTTTTATTCTGGTCGGCTTTACGAGGTTACGTCTCATCCGTCTCATTGATTTCACTGCTGAGACCGACTTTTCAAAGTTGCAGTTTTTGCAGAGACCCCTAGAGATTGTAGTCGGAGCTACAGTGTTTGTGCTAGCCGGCGCTTTGCTATTCTCTGAAGAAAGACCGAGCCATGTGAGATAACACCTGGTGCAAACAATTCGATACTCGCGACTGGAATCTGTTACCTTGAGTGTGATGATTAATCTGTAAAGATATTATGCAAGTATCAAATGCCGAAGGTGTCACAGCCGTAAAAGAGTTCTTTACCCATCTTTTTTATTTTCCATCGAAGTCGGAGTGCATCTACCTGAGAGGCGAGAAACCAGCAGTCTGCCATACAAATTAGCCGAATCTGTAGAACGGAGATGTACGCAAGACTGAAATTCTGGAACAGGACCAACGTTCAGAAGATAGATGAACAACCAGAGCTTTCTGCAGGAGTTTACAGCCGGTGAATTAGAAGAAAAAGAACGATATCTCTTTGTTTTACTTTTTGGTTAAGCGATCCCTAAATTGTACAAAAGATACTGCCTGAACGTTTTTAACGAGCGAGAAAGAGTGGAAAATGGTGACAGATAGCCTTCGATTTACAACAGATCAATATGCAATATAAGTAGAGTTTAACTATTATATATGATACACAGAGAGAGTAAATGATCACATAATAATGGTAAAAATAATAATAATAATAGAAAAGAAAAAGGCGGATGATGAAGAAGAAGGAAAAGAGAGACAGGTAGATAGAACGGGGAAGAAGGACGATGAAGAAGAAGGAAAAGAGAGACAGAGAGAACGGGGAAGAAGGACGATGAAGAAAAAAATTAGGCGGAGTAGGATAAGAAGAAGGAGGTGGATGAAGAAACAGAGGGTGAGAAGGAAGAGAAGAAGAAGAAGAAGAAGAAGAAGAACAAAAACAACAAGAAGAAGACGAAGAACAACTTTAACAAGAACATGAAGAAAAACAACAACAAGAACAAGAACAAGCAGAAGAGAAACAAGAAAAAGAAGAAAAGAAGAAGAAGAAGAAGAAGAAGAAGAGAAGAAGAAAAAGAAGAAGAAAAAGAAGAATAATAATAAGAAAATAAGAAGAAGAAGAAGAAGAAAAGAAAAAGAAGACGCTTGACGAAGGTTAGGTGGTGAGGGAAGATGAGGTGGGAAAGAAGAACAGGAGCAATTAAAAACAGTAAAAACACCCCCCCCCCCCTCCCTCCCTCCCCTCCCCCCCCCAAAAAAAAAACTAATAAAAATGTGAAAACCTACACACACAAAAACATATAAGCTACATCCAAGCAATCTTGCTTTAGAAGCTGACAGGTTTCCTGAAAGGATATCTGCCGACCGAGGCATGTTCGAGGATAATAGCAGAGTCCTCAAGACAAACCTCCAGGAATCCCGTCATGCGGGATTACCACAACCGACAGAGATGTAATCACATCACATTAATTAACCAAATCTATCATCCATCAACATCATCGTGATGCTTTCACACTGCTCACAAGATTTCTTGAGAATGCAGTTTTTGTAGAATTTATTAAGAGGTCTTGAATAATGAATGACGTTGGAACTAATAACAAAGGAAAATCGAGAATATTAAACCCAATCTGTGAGAAGAGATGAATTTCGTGTCATAATTCATTACTCTTGACAATCAAATTCAAAAGGAAATAGGCCAGAAATTGAAAGGACATTCGAGTCAGTTCATGTGGTTTCTTCGATTAAAATTTAAGAAATAGGCCCTTTTAACTCTTGATGTCCCATGTGTTATTGTAAATTTTTTTGTTTGTTACAGTCAGCGTGTGTGGCCCTGTGATTATGAGTGCTTTTCTGAGAATGTTTTAAAACGGCATGACTTTTGAGACATACTGTTCATGACAGGGTTTAGGCACACCATGTAGTGACCCAAGAGTGGAGTGCAAGGCGTTTTAAAACGCCCTACTCCCTTCATACAATTTTTTCGTACTGAAAGGCATGCATCACCATATTTAAACTGTCACTATGACATCATCCTTCTTTGTCAGCACTGTGATGTCAATGCTTAACACCCTTGACACCCTAAGCAACAATATTGACAGGCTTGAAGTCAATGACATGGTTATTGTAATTTGTATCATACAGTCTACGTTTTCCTTTCAAGCCGCCCTCGTAAAAAACACATCGGACATAAAAAGAGTTCGAATAACAATGAGATATAGTGGACTCATGTAAGAACTAAGTACTATACATAAAGAAAATAAAGGGCCCATTTCCATAGATCTGTTCCTGCCCTGAAGCTTCGAGGCATTTCAGGAGTAGATTACAGAGAAAAAATTTAAGAACTAACTGGGACATGAATATGTGAAATCCACATAACATGATGATG